AGGAAACTGTCGCCATTGCTAAGCGTGTGTCAGGGACTGGCTGGGCAAAGAGGAGCTGTGGGGGGCGCCGGCTGGGGAGTCCCCCAAGGAAATCCCCAAAGGAGGAAGGCTCAGAGCCAGGGGGTTGGTGGCGGGACACCGAGGAGAGCTCAGAGGGGGAAGATTGGGAGGAGGGGCTGGATGCTGATGTGGTAACAGGGTTTCGTGAGCAGGGAGAGTCGGCGACAGGAGCAGTTCAGACTCCGAGGCTCAAGCAGAGGAGGGGGGTGGGGTTCAAGAGGCTGCTGGAGAATCTAGGGAGTCTCTCTCTCTGGCTGCGACAAACTCCCCTCCTCCCTGAATGAGCAGAATAACGAGGGCAGGCAAGAGGACAGAGGTGTGAGACTGCTGGGGAAATATCTGGCAGAGGAGGAGCCTTAGAGAGGGTGGAAGGCAAGGACCTTCAGTCCTGGAAGCTGCTTCTTAGGGGAGCGTTGCTGAGTTGTCTGCCGTTTCCTTGAACAAAGAATGAGCTTCACTGTGGATGAAGCCCTGCGTGTTTTGTGCTGACGTGCGACTGACTCCAGCCCTGGACATTTTCTCCCCCCACCCCACCCTCTCTCTCCTCACAGTCGTCCGGATACATCCTTCATCTGGTTCCTGAACCCGCTCAAGTCCATACGGTACCTCATCTGCACCCGCTACAAGTGGCTCATCATCAAGATCGTCTTGGCCCTCCTGCTGATCATCATGGTGGCCCTTTTCCTCTACTCCATGCCCGGCTACATGGTCAAAAAGCTCCTCGGAGCATGAGGAGGAAGCCGCCTACACCCTGGGCCCCCCACTTTCTGAGCCTGCCGTTCTTGGTCATCGCCGGCTCCTGTTTGTGTTTCTTTTTTGTGACTTCCTTGTGTTTCCTCTCGGGAAATATGTGGGTGGGATGGGGGCAGCAGGAGCTCAGAATTTGCTCCGCGGTGTTGGGGAAGGGGGAGAAAGGAGTTTTCTTTAACCCCTCCCAGACATGAGCGCTATATCCTCAGCAATTCTTCTTGGCCTCTCCGGCCTAAGTCTTTGGAGCTGGAGAGCCTTGCAGTCTAAGGACTTCTCTCGCACCCGCCTTGCCTCAACTGGAGCATCCTCCACAAATGAACCCATGAGGTGGAGCCACCCAGTCTCTGCTCTGTGTGGATTTGACATGTTCGCCTGTCTCTCCCTCCTTTTCTGTTGTTTTTACTTCCGCAGCGAAACTCCGCACGAGGCTCTGGGAATGCCAGAGCCTTCTCCTCCTCGCGCTAGGTGTGACGTGATCCACTGAGATTCTGGCGCCCCTGGTTGGCGCCCGATGCTGTCGTTTTCTTTATTGAGGCTACCCCCTGGCCCACCACAGATGGGCACAGCTTCCTGCTGGTTCCCAGCCCAGTAGGGAGAATTGAGGCATTTGCCGTGCTGGAGCAATGCCTACCCACATTTTCCGAGGGTGAGCACAAATCAGGAGATTAGTCCGTTCATCAGCTGCAGGTGCTGAGAGAAGATGGGGTATCTCCCCCTGGTGGGAGCAAGCGTAGCGGCCGACGGTGCAATGGTACACGTGTGTCTGCTCAGAAGCAAGTCCCACTGAGCTCTCTGGGGTTTGCTCGCCTGTCAGTGGGCTGAGGACTGCAACATATAAAAGACTGTGCTGCAAATCCACCAATCCCCAAGCCGTGAGTTCCCAATTTAGGCAGTCCGCTTTGCCGGCCCCCTCTGCAGTTTGAGGATAACAATACTGACCTCTTACTGGGCTCTCATGCAGATTTCACCAAGATAAGCTCGAAAAGTACTAGATAAATAGGACCATTATTCATTGGATGATAAGCACAGACAGCTCTAGCTCGGTCCTGGGCTCTTCAAGAATATCCCGTAAGCCTGACACGGATGGAGCTTGGACACACACAGACACGTGTGTGAGAACAGAGCAATAACGTGGAGATGGGGGAGAGACTCCAGTCTCCAGATTTTCTAGTCCCTCGGCCGGCCCTTTGATGGGCTGGCTATGATCTTCAGCCAAGATCCCTAGCCACTTGAACCCTGGTTGGGGCAGGGAGAAGGAAACAGGCTCGACGAACGTTTCTGATGACCGAGTCCAAAGCAGCCTTTCGTGGCTGGTGACTCAATGGGAAGGTAAGGGACAACCTGCTTCCCAGACCAAGACATGCCCATCCCTAGAAACTGAAATATTCACGTCTCTCCTTTCCTTGAGTCAGTGGAGGGTTCCCATAAGCGGTTTTTATTCTGACATAAGGGATAAGCAGCACATTCTTCAGGGTTGAGACGGTATATGGAGAAGGCGCGTCCTTTTGAAACAAGGGATTGTTGTTGAAACCCTTCAAGTAGGGCGATGAGGCTTAAGGATGCAGCTTGCTTCTTAAAGCGAATCCGCTGATTGAGACAGGCAAAGCTAGAAAGACCAAAGGGGTGGATGGACCGGGTGACACGTGGCCAGTACAGAATCACCGTCGCCCAGCATGTTTGGGCACCTCCTTGAGACCCATAGGTTTTTGAAGGGCTTTTTGAAGGACCCCTATCCTGGCCCGGTCTCTAATCCATCCTCCGCAAAGTCTGCAAGGAGCGCAGACTTAAGAAGCACAGCAGTCACACAAAGTGTTGGGCCCACTGGCTTGACGCAACACACCGCTGTATCAAGGCATCGCCTCTTTTGCGGGATCCTACCGGTCCCTCTTCCACGTGACTCTTAGGCTGCCCTTCCTGCTCCTCTCTCTCTCTGCACTTGAGAGGCAAGCTGGGAGGGTGGTCTGAAGATCCTCAAAGCACATCACTGACTCCAAATCCCACATCACCAAAAAACAGCCGCCGGGCAGCAGTGGGCGATTTTTGGGTGAGCCATCAACCCTCAGCATCTACTAGGTACAGATAACGGCTAACGTGTGGGCAAGGCTAACGCACCAGGCTGTCACAAGGGAACCGTAGCAGCCATGGGGCTCGTGCAGTGGCGTGGAGTGAGTGAGAGAGCCACAGGGGACCAATGTGTTGGGAAGAGAAGAGGCAGGGGAAGATTTGGGGGTCCGATGGAGGTGGCAGGTGGCCCAGCTCTAGCACAACTCATCTCTAGAGTGGCCTTCGCCAGCCTAGTGCTGGGCAGGGCTGATGGGAGTTGTAGAGCATCCGGAGGGTGCCGGGTCGGCGAAGGCAGCCCTAGAGAAACCAGCACAGGGAAATGCTGCCCTTCTGCCCCTCTCTCCCTCCTGCAGCTCTGGCACACCTGGTGGCTTGTGTGTTTCATCCTGTCTTTCTCGTCCTGATTTCCTGAGGTGTGTGTAAAGGATTGATCCTGTTTCTCTACTGTTGCGGGGAGGGTTCTTTTGCGGGTGGGTGTTCTCTGTGCACTGTTAATACGGGGTCTTTGGGATTTGCTGTACGGATCAGGAGATAAATCTGTAACTTCTTTAATAAAAACAGATCACCAGAAAGGAACAGAGTCTGGATTGCTTTTTGTGGAGTGATGAAGGAAGGAAGGAAAATGTTGGGTTTCTGTTATGCCACTGTGCAGTTTTTGGAGTCACAAGATTCTGTTTACATTCCAGACTGTTGGAATTCTCACGGGAGACGGATGTTGATGTTACTGGTTTCCTGTTTCTTTGTCCAGTTGTTCACTGACTCTCACAGAGAGCAGATGCATATTCTTTTCTGTCCTGGGTAGTTAGAAATAGATGTAGCGATGTAGCACATATTTTTCTCTCCTTTTGCTGCTTGGATACTCTGCGTAATGGGGGAACGTGCCTGAAGCCTCATCAAAGGCTTAGGTCGTTAATCACTGCCGGAGGAGGGGAGCCTGATGGATTCCGAAGAACGCAGAGGAGGAGAGCTATTTCAGCTCGGTCGAACAGAACCTCCGACATTTTTGGTTATGGGCGCCAGACCGGAATGCAGCTTACCTTCTGTGCGTGTCAAGAAGATTGATGAGAGCTGCTGGTAAACAGCCTCCGTCTGCATTAAAGACAGCTCGGTCGAACGGAACCTCCGACAGAAAATACCTACAAACTAGTGGCTTATATAAACCTAGCCAGTGAGTGCCTGGTGCTTCAGAGAACCCCAAAAGTACTACGGAATGGAGCTACAGGAGAAACAGGAGGTCTAGATCAGGGTTCCCCTTTCCCTTCATGATGCCTAGTTCCCTGGGTCCTGAGACCTTAGCCTACCTGCTACCCACCTGGCGGCAGCTGGTGATTTCACCACACTGAGCATCCCAGGAGCAGAAAACTCTTAAGAGAATTGTCAGGTTAAGACTCTTGCAGATCTGCTCATGCACCCAGGAAGCATGGGGATTTTTAGTGCCTCAACATTCACCTACCACTTGGCCTCTGTGCACCCACATTCGTCCTGCCCACATCCCCCTGTCTTCATTGCTGGGCTTCTCTTGTAGTTTGCCACCATCTCCATAATCTGGTCCCATTTATACCCTCGAGGGCACCTGGTTTGGGTGGCACTTCCCACAAGCAACCCTCCGGGCAGAACAAAGAACCTCCAATTACAGTGGTACCTCGGGTTAAGAACTTAATTCATTCTGGGGGTCTGTTCTTAACCTGAAACTGTTCTTAACCTGAGGTACCACTTTAGCTAGTGGGGCCTCCTGCTGCTGCCGTGCCGCCTGAGCACGATTTCTGATCTCATCCTGAAGCAAAGTTCTTAACCCGAGGTACTATTTCTGGGTTAGCGGAGTCTGTAACCTGAAGCATCTGTAACCTGAAGCGTATGTAACCCGAGGTACCACTGTACTTGGCCTCACAGGTGCCCTCTCTGACCTCTGACCCCACTTATTTTGTCTGTGCTGCTTCCAGAGTCCTACAAGCCCCATTCATCAAATTATTTTGGCTCTTGGTTCCAACCTCCTCTTGTCTCAACAGGAACTGGAGGTCCACCTTTAAGCACACTGAACAGTTTGAAAACAGAAACGGATCCCACCCCGCTCCCTATTCATTCTTCTCCTCAAGCAACAGCAGCAAATATAAGACGGGAGAAACAGAACAGCCACAACAATTAGCCATTTATTTGCCTCCTCTCCCTAATGACACTTAGAAACCTCTGCGTTCAGAGTACCATCTTCTCCCGAGGGGTAACAAACCTGAGAGTTAACATTTTGGGAGGGTCAGTGGTGAGTTTTGCTGATTCTGAAACACATCAGGTGGGGATGCTTAAGGACACTCAACACATGTCAAAAATGTTTGCAAGCCTTCTCTGGCATGTCCCAGTTGCTGGGGAACAGCTGTGTGGCATGTACTTCACCAGGGGCTACTCACCAAGGTGTGACCCAAACCAGCACTCGAGAGCAGCTGAGGGAATGACAGGCCAAGCCTGCTTTCCCCAGCCAAGACTCCTTTGAGGAGTTAAGCAAGGCTCGCTGGGATGCCTATGAAGAAGATGCTGGGGCAGCAACTGCACCAGGACGTCAGGTGTTCATCTGCAGGTGCAGCAAGTGGGTCGGAGGGATCAGCAGCTCAGCATTCACCTGCGGAAAGGGAAGCAAAGACCATCAATAGCGCCCACTCCTGCCCAGCCAGGCTCAGGGTGGGTGATGCTTAAAAGTTAGAATTCCTGCATTTCAGGGTGGTGGAATAGATGACCCTTGGGGTCCTTTCCATCTCGACAATTCTATGATTCTCTCTCTTTTTTAAAATATATTTTTTATTCGATTTACAGGTAGGTAGCCGTGTTGGTCTGCCGCAGTCGAAACAAAATAAAAAAAATTCTTCCAGTAGCACCTTAGAGACCAACTAAGTTTGTTCTTGGTATGAGCTTTCGTGCGAATGCACACATCTTCAGATACACACCCCAGGCAGAGAAGGAACCTTGTGGAACTGAGTTCCACCCACAGTAGCAGCAGCGCCTGTCCTGCCAGAGCGGACCCTTTGCCCCAACAATGCCCTCCTCCCCTCGGTCCTGCAGCCCGTTGCTCACCGGGGACTGGAGATACTGCCGTAGCAGCATCCTGAGCTCTGCATTCTGCTGGCGCAGCCCGTCCGTCTCAGCGATCAGCTTTGCCCTCTGGTCCAGGATATGGCTGCACAGAAGAAGAAGAAGAAGAGTTTGGATTTGATATCCCGCTTTATCACTGCCTGAAGGAGTCTCAAAGCGGCTCACATTCCCCTTTCCCTTCCTCCCCCACAACAAACACTCTGTGAGGTGAGTGGGGCTGAGAGACTTCAGAGAAGTGTGACTGGCCCAAGGTCACCCAGCAGCTGCATGTGGAGGAGCGGAGACGCGAACCCGGTTCCCCAGATTACAAGACTACCGCTCTTAACCACTACACCACGCTGGCTCTCAGGTGGGGGAGGGAGAGGGGAAACTGTTACCACGAAAGCCAGGCAAGGAAGAGGCACGTTCTCACCACCAGGGGCCACCCGAGGCGCAGGCTAGACGGGCGAGGAGCACTCCTGGCAGCAGGGAAAGGGCCTCCGCAGGGCAGGGCACCTGGCTCAGATGTGCTCCACCTTCTCCTTGTGAAAGGCTCTTATGCAATGGCCCCCACCTCAACGACCCCCCTCCCTGGGGAGACGTGCAGGGACTTAATAGGACCTACCCACCCCCACCCCTGCCTTACTGGTATTTGTGCAAGCCAGAGACCAGGGCATCCCACAGCTTCAGATTCCCGTCCGGGATGGCGTGGGCGAGAGCGTCCCAATACTCCGAGTCCTTAGAGTCGTCCCGTTCTTCGCGCGCTTTCTTCACCAGGGGGTATTTCTCCCTGGAGGTGGGAAGGAGGGAGAGTCAATGGCTGGGAAGCGGGAGTCGGAACCAGACATGCTCCTTCCGGCCACCCACAACACTTGCGGCCCACTCAAATACCACCCCTACTTTTAAAATGTGGATTTGGGGGGTGTGTGTTACTGGGCTGTTATTTTTATTATATATTTTGTGGTTTTATATTTTCATTTTGTTCTGTGAACCAGGCGGTATATAAATTCTAATAATAATAATACCGTATTTTTCGCTCTATAGGACGCACCAGACCACAAGACGCACCTAGTTTTTGGAGGAGGAAAACAAGGAAAAAAATATTCTGAATCTCAGAAGCCAGAACAGCAAGAGGGATCGCTGTGCAGTGAAAGCAGCAATCCCTCTTGCGGTTCTGGCTTCTGGGATAGCTGCGCAGCCTACATTCTCTCCATAAGACGCACACACATTTCCCCTTACTTTTTAGGAGGGAAAAAATGAGTCTTATAGAGCAAAAAATACGGTAATTTTTGCCACCCCCTCCATCTAAAGCAACCACCCACAGGAGGAAAAAGGCTGCGTCCCATGAACAGGCTATTGGTGTTTCGCAACTTTGACCGGTTGCAGGACCTTAGCCAGACCTTAGCAGAGCATACACAGAGCTTCAGAAAGCAATCGGTTGCAGGCAGAATGGACGAAACAGGAACAAAACGCTGCTACTACTAACTTGGTTACTTAGAGGTGTTTATTATTTACGGCAGACTCTACAAGTTACTAGGGACATGGGTGGGGCTGTGGGTTAAACCACAGAGCCTAGGACTTGCCGATCAGAAGGTCGGCGGTTCGAATCCCCGCAACGGGGTGAGTCCCCTGAAGGACCAGGTGCGCAGCCTGGGAGTCATTCTGGACTCACAGCTGTCCATGGAGGCACAGGTCAATTCTGTGTCCAGGGCAGCTGTCGACCAGCTCCATCTGGTAGGCAGGATGAGACCCTACCTGGCCGCAGACTGTCTTGCCAGAGTGGTGCATGTTCTAGTTATCTCCCGCTTGGACTACTGCAATGCACTCTATGTGGGGCTACCTTTGAAGGTGACTCAGAAACAACAACTAATCCAGAATGCGGCAGCTAGACTGGGGACTGGGAGCAGCCGCCGAAACCACATAACACCAGTCAGAAAGACCTTCATTGGCTCCCAGTACGTTTCTGAGCACAATTCAAAGTGTTGGTGCTGACCTTTAAAGCCCTAATTGGCCTCGGTCCTGTATACCTGAAGGAGCGTCTCCACCCCCATCATTCAGCCTGGACACTGAGATCCAGCGCTGAGGGCCTTCTGGCGGTTCCCTCATTGCGAGACGTGAGGTTACAGGGAACCAGACAGAGGGCCTTCTTGGTAGTGGCACCCGCCCTGTGGAACACCCTCCCACCAGATGTCAAAGAGAAAAATAACTACCAGACTTTTAGAAGACATCTGAAGGCAGCCCTGTTTAGGGAAGCTTTTAATGTTTAATAGATTATTGTATTTTAATATTCTGTTGGAAGCCGCCCAGAGTGGCTGGGGAGACCCAGCCAGATGGGCGGGGTACAAATAATAAATTATTATTATTATTTATTATTATTATTTCTTAGAGCAGCCCCACACATCCTTCCTCCCCACAGCACCCCAAACCAGCCCTATCCTCTTCCTCCTCTTCTGCACAGACCCACCTTGGCTCCTGGAATTCCTGGACGAAAGCCTTAAGGGCTTTAAGGATGTCGTTGGGGTGCATGTACAAAGCTGAGAGAATCGAAGATGTGCTCGGGGGAGCTTTGTCCTCGTCTGGCGGGGCCAAAGAGCCCTCCCTCTCACCCCCTTCCTCCGCAGCCTCGACCTCTGAAGGCTCTTCTTTGGGGCCTAGCTCCGCGAGGAACTCTTCCAACTCCTACGAGGCAAGGAGACACAGATGGAGGAGGTTTATCCAGGTCCCCCTGGGATTCTGACGCAGCCCAGTGGAGCTGAGACTTATGGGGGGAAAGCAGCGCAAAATGCAACTTAGTGAAGAAGTGGAAGAGAGAAATTTAAGAGAGGTATTCTTGTATGCAACTGCAGCGGCTCAAATACTCGTGGCCAAGGGATGGAAAGATCAGGAGGCTCCAAAAATAACAGATTGGCAAATCAAATTACCGGAATTGGTGGAGATGGCTCAATTGACTAGCAAACTCAGAGGTAACTCAAAGCAAAAATTTGCGGAAAAATGGGATGGTTGTAGAAGATATGTTCAAAAATACAATAATAGTTTTGACTCTGTGCTAGCATTCGAGTGACAAAGGAAGTAAAAGGAGGTGGATAACAATTAAGGATTTATGGCGCTGTGGGTTAAACCACAGAGCCCAGGACTTGCCGATCAGAAGGTCGGCAGTTCAAATCCCCGCGATGACGGGGTGAGCTCCCGTTGCTCGGTCCCTGCTCCTGCCTACCTGGCAGATTGAAAGCACGTCAAAGTGCAAGTAGATAAATAGGTACCACTCTGGCGGGAAGGTAAACGGCGTTTCCGTGCACTGCTCTGGTTTGCCAGAAGCAGCTTAGTCATGACCCGGAAGCTGTACGCCAGCTCCCTCGGCCAGGAAAGAAAGATGAGGGCCGCAACCCGAGTCGGTCACGACTGGACCTGATGGTCAGGGGTCCCTTTACCTTTACCTATGTTTCATTGTGTCTGAGCTAGCCCCATTGCCATGTTCCAGCCCCACCCCGGCCTTACCGGATTAGCAGCCACTTGCTGAGCCTTGAAGCCCCTGAAGAACTGCACCAGGTGATACACGTCATCTTCGCTGACGATGGACAGAGCCTGCGGAGAGGAAGGGAAAGCTCAGCAGGCGCCCGATTAGCCTCCAGTGCCAGGATTAGCGTGCGATGCTCCTCCCAGGTGAGCTTCTGGAAGAGCTCAGACAGACCCTTGCACCGTGGTAGAAGTGGCTGCCTGTGTTTGTTTGAACTTCTGGAAAAATCTCACATTGCGGGTTTTTGTTTTTTTTAAAAAAAAAGAGAAATGCAAAGATTGTTATCAAATATATTTTTTTATCCGAGCTAAAATGTCAGTCTAGACCTGCAGTTCCCAACCTGTGGGTCCCCAGATGTTGTTGGACTACAACTCCCACCATCCCTGAGCTCTGGCCTTGCTAGCTAGGGGTGATGGGAGTTGTAGTCCAACAACATCTGGGGACCCACAGGTTGAGAAAGGCTGATCTAGACCATGGGTAGGCAAACTAAGGTCCGGGGGCCAGATCCGGCCCAGTAGGCTTCTGGATCCGGCCCGCGGACAGTCCGGGAATCGCCGTGCGGATCGGCGTGGATCTGATCGTTTGGGCAGCACCAGCAGGCGCGTTTGGCGGCGCCTCCCCCCTCCCTGCTTCTCCCTGCCCTGCCTAGAGCAGAGAAGCCGGGGACTGGGTTTTGTCGGTGCCAGCAGCAGCGTGAGCGCTCGAGCGGCCGCCATTGTAAGCAGGCTCAATTTGGGTTTCGTTGCTCTCAGCTCCAAGCCAGAGCCCTTTCGTGCGCCGCTCATCATCCCTTCGCCGCCAACCCCTGCCACTCGCAAGACACAGGTAAGCAGCCACCGGGGCTTGTCCAGTGCTGTGGAGAAGGGAGGGGAGAGTTGTGGGGGGTGGCTTACCTGAGTAGAATGTGTCCTTTTATTAAAAATGCATCTCTGGGTTATTTGTGGGGCATATGAATTAGTTCATTCCCCCCCCCCAAAAAAAAGAAATATAGTCCGGCCCCCTGCTGAAAACATTTGCCGACCCCTGATCTAGACCAGTTGTATTTGGACTGCAAATCTCAGCATCCCTAGCTAGCAGGACCTGCAGTTAGGGGTGATGGGAACTGTAGTCCAAAGACAGCCGAGACCCAAGTTTGGGAAACATTGATCTCGATAAAAACACCAACCCAGATGAAAAGAGGGAGAAAGAAGTAGAGATATGGAGATAGAAAAAAGATTAAAAGAGAAAGGGGAAACTTACATTATTGTTGTCAGTTCTTCCCATTGCTAATTTTATTGTTTTATCTTTTTTTGTAAACAGCTTTGGAATTTTCTTTTGCAGTCAGGCGGTAGGAAGAAGTTGTGAAACAAATAAAGCAGGCATAGGCAAACTCGGCCCTCCAGATGTTTCGGGACTACAACTCCCATCATCCCTAGCTAACAGGACCAGTGGTCAAGGATGATGGGAGTTGTAGTCCCAAAACATCTGGAGGGCTGAGTTTGCCTATGCCTGAAATAAACAAACTTCCATAGAGATTTCCCCCCTCCCCCCAATAAACTGATGTGTGAAAATGTGGAACTTCAGATTGTAAAAGAGAGAGAGAAAGAAACTGGGAGGAACCCAAAACGGGCAGATGGGCCCATAACCTTACTGCGAAGATGGAGTCCAGCCTCATGAGGGTCCGGTCGTGCTTTTCCAAGGGCTGGAGGAGACCTCGCAGTTTGCTCTCAATCAGGAAGCCCTGGCAAAAGAGAGGGGGGCAAAGGATTCCTCACGGCCCAGAGGCGAAGGCATTCCTGAGTCCCTGGCAGGCAGGCCCAGACAGAGGGGGGGCCATATGGGCCACTTGGCCCGGGCCCCCGATTCCAAAGGGGGCCTCGGTCAGCATATTCACAACCGCAGGGGATGCACTGGGGCGAACGTGGAGGCGCAAAGGTGGTGGTGGGCGGATTCCCTGGGGCCCTGGCTGGCGGCGTGAGAGAAAAGCTTCCCGGCATCCGGAGCGGGACCTGCGATCGACTCCGCAGAGGAGCGCGGAACGGGCGCCGGGTGGGTGGAGGCGACCAAGGCTCCAGCAGCCAGTGCGCCGCGAACGTGATGGCAGACCACGTTTTTCATGCTGTTAAAAGCTGGTGAGTTTGAAATCTTGTTTGCCAAAAATTAAAACCACACGTACCTTAAAGTGTGTTGGCTTTCTTATCGCTAATTTCTTTTTAGAAAAGGATGAAAAATGGATGAGATGTGGCCATTTGTTTAAAATTTAGGCCAGGAATGTTACTTACACCCAAGGAGTACATATAGCTCAATGAGGATAAAATTTGGTGGAAACCATGTTTTTTAAAGAAATAGTGGCTTATGAGCAATAGCGGCTTTCTCACAAGCATATGTCTTTTTTAAGAGTAGAATAAGAAGACGGAGAAGTTTTAATTATAATTATAATTAAATAGATTTTTAAATACATTATTGAACTATTAAAAATTGTATAATACATTTTAAAATGAATAATGTATTTATTGTAAAATGTATTTAAAATTATAATACATTATAAAAAAATTATGTTATATACTTATTTATAAGACTTCAGGGTAAAAAAAAGCGGGGGCCACATTGTCTACCTGGCCCAGGCCTCTGCCTGGCTCTGCAAGGTCCTGCTGGCAGGGCAGGGCAAGTCCAGCAACCATGGCATCCCACTTGCTCGCCTGCCCGCCTGCCCCCCACCCCGCTTCAGCTCACCGACTCATCGCACAGAAGCTCCAGGATGTGCTTGACTGTTTTGGTGGAGATGGACCAAAGCGCTTTGACCTCTGGCTCTGCGCCTTCAGGCGCCTGGCGGTCCTCGTCTGGGGCGCTTTCCTTCTCATCTCGGAAGCCGTCCTCCAATGTGAGAGACTTGCTGGCTGAAGGGAAGAGCGATGCCCGGAAGCGGGGATAAAGAGAGGTGCAAACCAGGACTCCAGCAAAACTTTACCAGAAGAAAATAACAAATGCAGACAACTGCTGGAGATGCGGAAGTAAAAATGCGAACTTAGTACATATGATGATTAACTGCCTGATGATAAGATCATTTTGGTGCGAGGTGAGGATATATATAGCAAGAGTAATAAAAAGAAATTGTTATCTAGGGGATTTGAATTTAATTCTAAATTATATACCGGAAACGTGGGAGATTACAAGGGGTCAAAAAAAATGGATGTACCGTGCCACATTAGAATCAAAAAAACTTGTTTTGATGAATTGGAAAAGCCGCAAAAAGATTCCATTGAGCACATGGATTGCCAATATGGACAGACTAGTTATATACGAACGAATTGCATATTGACGCAAATTAAGAATGGATAAATATGAAGAAATCTGGAAGGAATACTTAAGCGATAAGGCGGACAGTGGTGGGAAGTAGGGGGAGGAGAGGTGGGGAAATATTGTTCAAAAGGTGTAGTTATAGGTATATCAGAAATCTGAATTGTTAAATTGTGTTATTGGTGTTATTGTGGTTTTTATTGTACGTGTTTTTTGTGGTTGCCGTTTGTATTGAAAAAATGATTAAATAAATAAAATAAAAGAGAGGCGCAAACCGAATGGCAAGCCAAGTTGATGGACTGTGCTGGAATGGCAAAACTAACTGGGAAGCTCAGAAATAAAGAAGACAAGGACTTTAACAAGGAACGGGGGAAATTTATAATTTACTCACGAGGCCACTGTAAGCAGGTTAAAACATTAGCAGGATTTTAACCACACTTGTAAAGTAATGGAAGGTGTGGACAGTTTAGAAGAATAAAAAAATTGGATAAGTATTGATATGCAGTTGTAACTAATATCATTAGGACCCATGGAAGGGAAAATCACTGAATAGTATCTAACAAAAGAATGATTCAGAGTGATCTCGATATTTGGATTCAGAATTGTTTTCTTGTTGTATGTTTATACTTTTTAAAATCAAATAAAAAAATTAAAAATAGAGAGAGGCGCAAACCCAGCCACCCAGGAGAATTGCTGATTCTCCTCCGCGTGCTGATTTCAGCAACAAAGAAGTGCATTCCTTAATGATTTAAGCAGCAAAGAGGTGCAGCTAAGCCCCCCAGCAACCTGTCTGGAAAGAGATGGGGCACTATCTCAGCCTTAATTACTTTACTGTAATTATTATATTTTCTTAATTGCTTTACTGTAATTACTGTAGCAGTGGAACGGTCCACCCTGGGAGGTTGTGGACTCTCCTTCCTTGGAGGTTTTGAAGCAGAGATTGGATGGTGATCTGTAATGGATTCTTTAGTTGAAATTCCTGCATTGCAGGGGGTTGGACTGGATGACCTTTGGGGGTCCCTTCCAACTCTATGTTTCTACAATTCTGCTTTATGCAGACATATGAGTAGCACCTGACAAACTCAAGGCAGGAAACAGGGATGAGCAGAGGATGGTTTCTAGTGATGGCTTGGTCACATGGAGGGGCTTAAGCGCCCTTACAGAACTCCATGCTCCTCTCTCTGCTTAGCAGTAAAATGAACTGCGCAAAACCGGGCACATCTATAGATTCTGGCACCATTTTCATAACCTGCGTATCAATTAATTTGGTTTTCCACAGGGCAAATTTGGGATTAACTGGATGGGAAAATCACTGAATAACATCTAACAAAAGAAACTTAATGATTTTTGCATGTGTGTGTGTGTGTTCTTTGTTTTTCTGTTTCATTTTTAGAAAGTGTGTGTTCTTGTCATTATTTTAGTGGTCTTTTTCCTTTCCTGTTTCCTTTTTCCTTTTCTTGAATATATGTAGAGATGTAAGGTTTTTGTTCACTGAGTTTGATATTATTTGATTTGGTCATTATTATTTGATTCATATAGAAGTTATCAATGTATGTATTTGTTATCTATGCATTATTTGTATATTTTGAAATAAAATAAAAAAATAACATGATGGGAAAATCCAGCTTTCCCAAAATCCCAGGTCCTGCTTTGGTTTTTGAAAAAAGGCAACTTTCTATCCCTTATTTCCAGGAAAAAATAATCACCATGGAATGGCCTCCCACCCTGCCCGTTCGTTCCTTGCCGAAGGAATCCTAATATTTGTTGAAAACTTGTACTGATGGAAGAAGAACTATACAGTGGTACCTCGGGTTAAGTACTTAATTCGTTCCGGAGGTCCGTACTTAACCTGAAACTGTTCTTAACCTGAAGCACCACTTTAGCTAATGGGGCCTCCTGCTGCGGCCGTGCCACCGGAGCACAATTTCTGTTCTCATCCTGAAGCAAAGTTCTTAACCTGAAGCACTATTTCTGGGTTAGCAGAGTCTGTAACCTGAAGCGTCTGTAACCCGAGGTACCACTGTATGTGTAAAAGCACCTTTATGCCAATGGCTTCAAACTGCACAACTTGCCCCCATTGGAGGACTGGGGGTCGCTGTAGGCTTGGAGCAGAATACAGACCCACATGGAAAAAGAGGGAAGAAGAAGAAGAAGAAGAAGAGTTTGGATTTGATATCCCGCCTTTCACTCCCTTTAAGGAGTCTCAAAGCGGCTCACATTCTCCTTTCCCTTCCTCCCCCACAACAAACACTCTGTGAGGTGAGTGGGGCTGAGAGACTTCAGAGAAGTGTGACTGGCCCAAGGTCACCCAGCAGCTGCATGTGGAGGAGCGGAGACTCAAACCCGGTTCCCCAGATTACGAGACTACCGCTCTTAACCACTACACCACACTGTCTTGCCCTGGGGCAGAGCCTCAGCCTTCAAGGCAGAAGGACCCTGATGCCATCCTCCAGATGCCCGGGGGCTGGGAGAACATCCCTGCTTGAAACTCTGGACAGCTGCTGACAGTCAGTGTGGACAACACTGAACCAGGTGGGCTGATGGTCTGATTAAGGCACCTTCCTATGCCTATGTTAAGGGATGCGGGTGGCGCAGTGGGTTAAACCACAGAGCCTAGGGCTTGCCGATCAGAAGGTCGGCAGTTCGAATCCCCGCGACTGGGTGAGCTCCCGTTGCTCGGTCCCTACTCCTGCCAACCTAGCAGCTCAAAAGCATGTCAAAGTGCAAGTAGATAAATAGGTACCACTCCGGCGGGAAGGTAAATGGCATTTCCGTGCGCTGCTCTGGTTCGCCAGAAGCGGCTTAGTCCTGCTGGCCACAGGACCTGGAAGCTGTACACCGGCTCCCTTGGCCAGTAAAGAGAGATGAGCACCGCAACCCCAGAGTCGGCTACGACTGGACCTAATGTTCAGGGGTCCCTTTACCTTTACCTTTACACCTATGTTCCCAAGCAGCAGAGGGGTGGGGTTGGGGGTGAGAGACAGCCTTGCTTACTTTCTGGCGCGATCACCTCCCTAGCCAGTTCGCTGGCCGACTTCATCTTCTTGCTGTGCACGATGGGACCCACATTGTGCAGGAACCAGCTGTCTGGCTCGATCCACTGTAACCCCAGTTGCTGGGCGTGGATGACGCGGTCGGCGCTGAAGACCTTGCGGATCAGGCCCTTGGCCTCCTCCTCGTTCATCAGCCACACGTCCAGGAAGTGCTCAGCGTCCACGATGGCAAAGTGCCTGCGTTGAAGGTGAAAGGTGGAGCATGAGGCTATAATAATAATATAATAATAATTTTATTTATACCCCGCCCTCCCCAGCCAAGACTGGGCTCAGGGCGGCTAACACCAAATATAAAACAAGTTGATTGAAATACAACTCAAAAACAAGGTTAAAATACAACATTAAATACAGCCTCATTTCAGCAGAAACTCAAAAACTTTTTTGGGGATGAAAACGTCAAGTCTTCACCAAGGCTAACTATCCAGACTGGTCCTACGTGGGCCAGAAAAAAGCCAGGGAAGTCCCCAAGTAGGAGTTCCGTCACAGGAGGAAAAGGAAAAAAGAAGATGGGGAGGGGATCGAGTTAATTCTAAACCTCAGGGTCAGAAGCACTAGCCCCATGTTGGCCCAAATGTTTCCTGCATTGCAGGGGGTTGGACTAGATGACCCGCAGGATCCCTTCCAACTCCACCATTCTATGATTTCCAAACTGGATCTGAGCTCAGGCCTGTGTACTAGCACACAGAGTCATAGAATAGAAGAGTTATAATGGACCTCTAAGGGTCATCCAGTCCAACCCCTTGCAATGCAGGAATCTCAGCTGAAGCATCCATGGCAGATGGCCATCCAACCGCTGCTTAAAAACGTCCTGACGAAGGAGAGTTTCCAACCTCCCAGGGGAGACTGTTTCGCTGTCGGACAGCTCTTCCTGTTCCTTCTGATGTATTAGCAAGGGTGAAACCTGGGGGCTGGTTTTGCAAGCCTGTTTTGGTGTGGAGCGTTGTGGGCTACTGGGCAATAACAGCCACCAAATATTCAGCAAATATTCAGCTGTCGCAGTGCATCAGCAACTGTCGAGATCATGAGTCGCTACACACTCAGAATTCTTCAGTGTCATCTCCATATTTTTGCATTCAGTTTCAGCCTGTCTGTTGACTTATGCTGCCCTTTGGCCACGCATTGTCTTCCAATGTTGCTAAATGCTTACAAACGGCCAGCATAAAAAGGGCGTTTTGTACATTGCCTGTCAATGTTCATAGCTATATACTTTTTTCAAATAATAATAATACACGCCAATGCTTTATTACGTATCATCCAGACATAGACTAGAGCAGGGATCAGCAAACTTTTTTCAGCAGGGGGCTGGTCCACTGTCCCTCAGACCTTGAGGGGAGGGGTGGACTATATTTTGAGGGGGGGAAATGAACGAATTTCTATGCCCCACAAATAACCCAGAGATGCATTTTAAATAAAAGGACACATTCATGAAACTTATGGACTATATGGAATTGGCGGAAATGACTGGCAGAATCCGTGACCAGGGAGAAGAGTCGATGGAGGAAGACTGGAAGAAATTCAAAGACTATCTTCAGAAACACTGCAAAATTAAGGAATGTTAGAGTGATGATGGATTGAAAATAAGTGGTTTCCAGCTGTACAGGTTAAAGTTAAGGATAGATTAAGATTAAAGATCAAGATTAAAGATGTTTAAAGAAATGGAAATTTGATAATAAAAGGGAAAAATTTAAAGCTATATGACATTAAGATCAAGGATTAGGTTTAAAAAGTTGAAGTTATATATTTTAACATTTTATTAAATTAAAGATTGGGATTAAAAAGTGGAAAAGAAACTGCTGGACAAATAATGTGGATTGGAATACAAAGAGGGAGGTATGAGGAAGTCCAGAAAATAAGTAATTTAAAATTGGAAATGGAAAAGAGAGTTTGTTTTTAACTGTTATGTTTTGTGTTTTTATTGTTAAGTTTTGTATTGTTTTTTGTGTGTGTTGTTTTTCTTTTTTCTTTGTTTAAAACCTTAATAAAAAATTATTTAAAAAAAATAAATAAATAAAAGGACACATTCTACTCATGTAAAAACACACTGATTCCTGGACCATCTGCGGGCCGGATTTAGAAGGCGATTGGGCTGGATCCGGCCCCCGGGCCTTAGTTTGCCTACCCATGGACTAGAGCACATCAGAGCATAGCTGTCAAGGTTTCCCTTTTTTAAAGGGAAATTGCCTTATTCCGAATAGGATTCTTTGCAAGAAAAGTAAAAAGTTGACAGGTATGCATCAGAGCCAGGCCAACGGATCAAAGCATGAAGGAAGTTTCCTTTCTGTCCAGAGGAGGGCAACCAAAATGGTCAAAGGCCTGGAAACGATGCCTTATGAGGAACGGCTAAGGGAGCTGGGCATGTTTAGCCTGGAGAAGAGGAGGTTAAGGGGTGATATGATAGCCATGTTCAAATATATAAAAGGATGTCACATAGAGGAGGGAGAAAGGTTGTTTTCTGCTGCTCCAGAGAAGCGGACACGGAGCAATGGATCCAAACTACAAGAAAGAAGATTCCACCTAAACATTAGGAAGAACTTCCTGACAGTAAGAGCTGTTCGACAGTGGAATTTGCTGCCAAGGAGTGTGGTGGAGTCTCCTTCTTTGGAGGTCTTTAAGCAGAGGCTTGACAACCATATGTCAGGAGGGCTCTGATGGTGTTTCCTGCTTGGCAGGGGGTTGGACTCGATGGCCCTTGTGGTCTCTTCCAACTCTATGATTCTATGATTCTGGCTCCTGATGTGCTGATCAGTCAGTGAAGCCCAGAGCCATCTCAAGCAAGGTGGGAGCGCCTGGAAGTGATGTGAAATCCACTTCTTAAATCCCCACTCCTTCGTCAAGTCCAAGGGGTGGCCTTGGGCAGATCATTCTCCCTTTATCCATCTTTAGTCGACCGCTGTGATGGTAGAGTACCTGCCTCGTATGGGGGAGGTCCCTGGTCAATCTCCAGCGGCATCTTAAGCAACAGCTGGGAGAGACACCCTGTCTGAAACCCTGCGGAGCTGCTGCCAGTGTAGACCAGGGGTGAGGAATGTAGATATTTCACCCCTCCCGTTGCAAGAATCTCATGATGTTTCAGAAAGGAGGGGGCGGAATCTACTCATTGCTTCTTCTGCTCCTGCCTGGCTCTGTGGGAGTCTGAGCGTTATCCGTGTAGAGATAAGATGACTGCATAACGATCTGTAACACTCATGCAGTCCAGTAGCCTCTGTTAGTCTTTAGTTTGCAGTGGTACCTCGGGTTAAGTACTTAATTCGTTCCAGAAGTCCGCTCTTAACCTGAAACTGTTCTTAACCTGAAGCACCACTTTAGCTAATGGGGCCTCCTGCTGCTGCCGTGCCGCCGGAGCACAATTTCTGTTCTCATCCTGAAGCAAAGTTCTTAACCCGAGGTACTATTTCTGGGTTAGCGGAGTCTGTAATCTGAAGCGTATGTAACCCGAGGTACCACTGTATGCTATATGGTAATTTATGGACCTAATAGGCGTGCTCTGGTCCATGGGGTCACGAAGAGTCAGACACGACTAAAATGACTAAACAACAACAACAATAGGTATCTAAAGCTATTTGTACATGTTGCCCTGCAACTAGTTCATGCAGAATGTTGGCACCCTATACAGTGGTACCTCGGGTTAAGTACTTAATTCGTTCCGGAGGTCCGTTCTTAACCTGAAACTGTTCTTAACCTGAAGCACCACTTTAGCTAACGGGCCTCCCGCTGCCGCCGCGCCACCGGAGCATGATTTCTGTTCTCATTCTGAAGCAAAGTTCTTAACCCGAGGTACTATTTCTGGGTTTGCGGAGTCTGTAACCTGAAGCGTCTGTAACCCAAGGTACCACTGTATAGTTTATTTTAGTTTGCAGTAGCTGCAACAGAATAAAGAAGTTAAGCTTCAGAGCTGTCGTTTGTGTCATTCATACTCTGCTGTGCTCCGCTGACTGTGGCGCTGAGTTTGATGCTCACAGCTCAAAGTTGTGACTCCATTGCACTTAGACCTCTTTTCCTGAGTGGAAGGTCTCTGGAAGTGCTTCCCAGCTCACCTGGCCCAATCGGGGCAGCGGGGCTGAAGAGGCTGAGCCCAGTCGTTGGCACTGGCTCAAAGGCAAAGCTGACAGGGAACTCTTTCGGCTCCCCGGGTCAGATCCTGATCAGGCCAAATCTGGTGGGGAGGCAGCTTCCTGCGCCAGCAAGTTTTGAATCAGCCTCTCAGAGCTGGGATCGTTTTTGTCTGCACCTGGGCTGAGCAGGAAGGACTCGAAACAGAACCCGCCCACTCCCCCAAGCTGTTTTGAGCCTCGGCCCTTTTTCTGACTCGCGCACGGTCCCGCTGAACCCAGGTTCGGACTGTTGCAGCCAAGGGGCAACAGTCTTTGCCCGCACACGAGCTCTGCTGCCCCAGGCAGCCCTACCTCATGGTCCTCTGCAGGTCCTTGTACTGTTGCACAATCCGTTTGTAGTCAGCCGTCAGAGCCATGTTCTCCTCGCGGTACTGCTTGATCTGTCTGGCAAACTTGAGGCGCAGGTTGTTCAGGATATCGTGCAACCTGGAGGCGGGGGGAAGAGGCGGAGCTTGGCTTATGAAGAGCGAACCCAGCGACCCAGCGAGACCTGAGGGTGGTAAGGGCCCCAGCAGAAGAGAAGGGGCACACCGTATTTTTCGCTCCATAAGACGCACTTTTTTCTTCCTAAAAAGTATGGGGAAATGTCTGTGCGTCTTACTGAGCGAATGCGTGGTCCCTGGAGCCGAATTGCCCAGGGGCAAAAAGCAGATCATGCTTTTTTTTTTTTTTGAAAGAGGGAAGTGGGTGTTGAAACAAAGCCGCTGATTGTTTGCCAATCGGGGAGAGAGATAAGGGACGCTAGAGATAAAGGAGGCTGCCTGGGAGGGGGGAGGTAAAGACAGCAAACTTGTAAAGGGGAAAAACAGGAAGACTAAAGCAATAAGGAGAGAAATTAGAAGAAAGGGAGGAGCAAAAAAACTCCTCCAGCTAAGGAAAAGACACTAAGGCAAACAAGAGGGAAGGGAGTATTGAAAGGAAACAGCTGGTCGGTGGGATCAGAAGAGAGATAAGGGACACTAGCGGAGGCTGCCTGGGAGAGGAGAGGCAAAAGCCCATGGATCCTCAGGATTTTTGCATTGGGTCACCCCAAATTCACCATCAGATCACACAGCATGTCCATGGCTACAGCCTGCACCAAAAAAATCACGCATCCATGGTTTCCCGGGGCCGCAATGGCGCAAAAACGTGGTTACAAAGCACAGAACCACATGGATCTTCAGGATTTTTGCATTGGGCTACCCCAAATTCACCATCAGATTGCATGTCTGATATATATATATATATATATATATATATATATATATATATATATATTGTTCTTCAGAGGCATATCGCACATCCTGCATCAACTTCCTAGAAACTTCTCTGTGGACAAGGGGCAGGATAGCATCTATACTAAGGCCGCGATGCAGCAGAGAATTTGGTGTGCAGAGAATTATATTCCAGGCTGCGGGAAGGGAAGAAGGGGAAGACGGCCCGGCTCCTTTACCGATTGAGCTTCCTCTTCTGTTGGGATTTGATGATGGTGTTCTCCTCGTCCCGTTTCTTCAGGACCTGGAAGTTGTACTCCAGCTTCTCCTGGTTCAGCTGGTAGATGGCTTTCATTTGCTGGAGTTGCTGCTCCAGGATCTGGCACCCAAAGAGGGGAGGAAATGAAGAATAAGCAGAGGCCATGCTGCAAATCCCCCTCGTGGACTTGCTCCAGAGGAGACCAGCTCTGCGGCTTGACATGACCCATGGAACTGGTGCCTATCTTGTCTTTGGATCACTTGTGATCAGGACAGCCGCTGACTACACTCACAACTAATCAAGATGACACCCTCTAACACACACACACCATCCCCAAAGCAAACAGACACAGCCATTGATGTCCCTTATCAGAAACCAAGAGACTAGGCGGGGGATCTGAGTGTCAGGGACTGCCACCGGAACAGGGAAGGGAGGCAGAGGGGCAGTTGGGATACAGGGAACCTCCGAAAATCGTGAGAAGCAGTTCCTCTTCCTGCGGTGGGGAAAGCCACACCTCCAGCGGGGAAGAGGGGAAGGGACCAGAGGATGCTGCTGGGAGCCCCAGCGCTGCACCTTGTCAGTCTGAGGGTGGGGAAAGCCACACGATCTGGGTAAAGGAGGTGAAAGGGCTAGAGGATGCTGCTGGGAGCCTCGGCACCGCTCTTTGCCAAGCCGGTGGTCAGGAGGAAAGCACGCCTCTTCGGTCGCCCACCTTGCACAGAGGTGTAAAGCGCAAAGAAGGAAGGAAAAGGCTGGGGGTGACTAAGCTCTTATGCTGGGGGAGGAACCGGAAACAACCACTCCCGGATTCTGCTAGCAATTGAGGCAGCCATGAACTGATGGTTCTGCACTGTAAACAGTTTTGCACCAAAATAAAACCTGTTAAAGACAGGTCGGAGTCCTGCCTGGTTACTCACGAGCAACCACCACCGACATCTGACACTGAGCAAGGGGTAAAAAGCCAAGAACGGGGAGAGGGGAAATTATGTGCAGAGGATGAGACGAAATCGTTCAGGTTGCAATTGAAACAAGGATCTTGATGGTCCCCAGAATGGTTCTTGAATTAAGAGGAACAATTGGGGCATCACAGCCCTCGTCCTGGTCTGGGAAGCTAAGAAGGGACCCCGAAATTGTACGCCCCCAGGTGATTTTTGTCTCCCAGCCTTCTTTGCAATCACATTAGCATTCCCTGGACTACTGCAATGGGCTCTACGTGGGGCTACCTTTGAAGGTGACCCGGAAACTGCAATTAATCCAGAATGCGGCAGCTAGACTGGGGACTGGGAGCGGCCGCCGGAACCACATAACACTGGTCCTGAGAGATCTGCATTGGCTCCCAGTACGTTTCTGAGCACAATTCAAAGTGTTGGTGCTGACCTTGAAAGCCCTAAACAGCCTCGATCCTGTATACCTGAAGGAGCGTCCCCACCCCCATCGTTCAGCCCGGACACTGAGATCCAGCGCCAAGGGCCTTCTGGCGGTTCCCTCCCTGCGAGAAGTGAAGTTACAGGGAACCAGGCAGAGGGCCTTCTCAGTAGTGGCGCCTGCCCTGTGGAACACCCTCCCTTCAGATGTGAAGGAAATAAGCAGCTATCTTATCTTTAAAAGACATCTGAAGGCAGCCCTGTTCAGGGAAGTTTTTAATATTTAATGCTGTATTTTTTTAACACTTGATTGTGAGCCGCCCAGAGTGGCTGGGGAAACTCAGCTCGATGGGCGGGGTATAAATAATAAATTATTATTATCATTATTATCCCTGAAATCTGCCATTTAAGCTCCTGCGGATGCCCCAAATGAAATGAGAGTCCATGAAGGAATTGCTGCAGAAGTGACTCAGCTGCCATCCCACCGTGCCTCAGAGAAAGGGCTTGCAGGGTCCCCACAACACCGGCACCCGATGGGGGGTCTATTCTCGCTCCGTACCTGCACGTCATGCTCCAACTTGATCTTGATCACGTTGTACTCCTCGGCGTCTTGCACCCGCAGCTGGTTCAGCTCGCGCTCATATTCCTCCACCTTCTTCAGGCGGGCCATCATGAAATCCAGCTAGAGCAAAAGGCAGAGAGAGCGAGTGGCCAAGGTCCCCATTTCCGCTGCCCTGGCTTGGAAACGAAGCCAGCTCTTTGCCCCGGAATCGGTAAACAGCTGCCAAACCCCTCTGAGTAGCCCATCAAAGCATACCTCTGCAAAGCGAAGGGGCTGCTTCTCCCTGCATTTGATACTTTGAAGAGATTGGGTCAAGGCCCATGAGAAGGTGGGCTTTTGCCCCACACTCCTGGTTTCCGAGGGGGCGACTCTTAAGCACACGTCCCTCTGGCTTTGCTAAGAGGATACTCTGAAGCTCATCTCTGAGCCCAGCAAAGCTTGTGGTCACCTTCTGATATATTTCTCCTTCCTTGGAGGTTTGTGAGCAGAGGTCGGATGGCCACCTGTCCTGGATGCGTTAGCTGAGATTCCTGCATTTCAGGGGGTTGGACTAGATGACCCTCAGGGTCCCTTCCGGCTTGATGATTCTAATATTTATAGACTGCTTTTCACCACAGATGGTCACAAAGCATGCTCACAATGCAGATGGTCACATCTACCCTGAACTCAAACTAAGGGAGAGATTTGGTTGTGGTCTCATGTTATCCATCTCAACCAGCCCTCTACCCCACCAAAGAAAACAAAATAAGGAAGCATATTATAGAATCATAGAGCGGGAAGGGACCCAAGGGTCATCTAGTCCAACTCCCTGCAATGCAGGAATCTCAGCTAATGCATCCAAGACAGGTGGCCACCTTCCTGCTCTACAATGACCAAGCCGTTTCGGGTGAACCAGAGCAGCGCATGGAAACACCGTTTACCTTCCCACTGGAGCGGTGCCTATTTATCTACTTGCACTTTGACGTGCTTTCAAACTGCTAGGTTGGCAGGAGCAGGGACCGAGCAACGGGAGCTCACCCCGTCACAGGGATTCGAACCGCCAACCTTCTGATCGGCAAGCCCTAGGCTCCGTGGTTTAACCCACAGCGCCACCCGCGTCCCTTCCCGTATATATATTGCTTAATAAATTACTTAGAATGCCACACCTAAGCTCCACATCGTTTCTGCTATACTCTGCTGATAGAGTGTTTACATATGTTCAGATATGTGTCGCTGGTGTGCATTGAGACTGAAGATTTATGAACGTCCCGGGCTGCGCTTCACAAGGAAGACGCCTGGATAGGTTTGTCTCAATCCAGGGGCTGTGTGTGTCCCCCAGGCGTGTTCCGACAGGGACTACCATCTTAGACTTTTCCTTCTTCTCCTTCCTGGGAGGGGGCTGTTTCTCTGCCTTTCCCGCAGGCACGTGCCCCCTGCTTCCTTACCTCTTGGCGGTTGAGCAACTGCATGGCCTGTTCCCATTTCTTCTTGTTGCTCGTGAGGAGTTCACGGCGCTCTAATTCAAAGGCTTTCTAAGGGGGAAAAGAGAGAAATGTGGCTTGAGCAGCCCCCAATCTATGTGCGGAAGGGAAGTCAGCAGAGTCCCGTGAGAGCCAGGACTCAGAATCACAGAGCTGAAAAGCTGGGACACCCAAAGCTCATCTAGTCCAACCCCTGAAAGTGCAGGAATCACGACAAAATTACAGACTCTGAAGAGCTCATATTCAGCCCTAAAGTAGCAAATGAGTACTCCTGAGTAGGGGAGGAGGATAAATTAGGGACCTTCTAAGAAGACTCCAGATCGCCTTCATTACTTCTCAGAGTTTGGAGTCACTGAATTTTGATTTCTTTCCCCAGATCCATTCATTTAACACCCGCCCACCCACGTTCTCCTACCCTGTGAGACTTGGGTATGTCAAATCACAGTATCTCCCTGGCTAATAGACTAATAGTCTGATCACAACAGCTTAGGTTTGGGACTCCAAAGCCACTATCTCTTTGGATGTGTTTCTTGCTATTGCATTTTGTGAAACAAATTCATTGAGCAAAGTCTGCAACTGTTTCATTACTAGGATTTTCAAAGGCAGTGCCGAAAGCAAGAAGAGGATCCTCAGCTCTGCATTTTTAAACTGTTTTATTTCATATTGTCAGTCTAATTCTGATGTATTTTTTGCTAGCTGCCTTGGATACATGAAGGGAAAATACATAAAATAAACGAAGATAAACAGAATTTAAATACATTTGCTTGCCGATGCCCAATGCTGCTTTCATCTTAGTTTGACCATCTTTTTTTTTTTTTGCTGCATATACACAAGCAAGAAAGAATCGCCTTCTGCTGGTGAGAAGCTTCAGGGTGCGGGACGAGAGACCGGTACCTCAATCTGCAGGAGCTCTCTGCGGTAGTTTTTTATGAGGTTTCTGATCTGCTCCTCCATCCGCTCCAGCAGCAGGTTAATGTCTTCTGACTGCTTCCTGAGATCCTTCACGTACTGGTCATCTTTGCTTTTCAGCTCCTGGAGGGCACAAACAGACAGGGAGGCCAGATTCAGGCCTGACTTTTGGATTCCACCCTCTCATCTTCACACTACGAAGGCAGGTGGATTTCATTTACTAAATGTGTATACCGCCCTTCATCCTAAGCTCACAGGGCGGTTTGTGACTGATAACTCCTCTTACGCTGATTTTACGCACACAACTGCAGCGTTATACAGATTGCGGGAAATTAAATAAAGGAAATAAAGGGAAAGCAAGGGGGTGGGACTCACGGAGAGCTTTCAAAGTCTTGTTTAACAGCCTCTGGGGAGGTTACATGAGGCCTCTGGGGCAGCGACTGCAGGGTTTGAGGCCCCTGGAACCCTTCCCATAGCCCAGTAAGCAAGATGTGGGGTAGGTGGAGGAAGACCTCCTCAGACCCAGGATCAGACAGGAATAGTCACGCAGGGCCCTTCTAGCAGTCATGAGCAATTATTTATTTATTTATTTATTTATACCCCGCCCATCTGGCTCAGTTTCCCCAGCCACTCTGGGCGGCTCCCAATCGAGTGTTAAAACAATACAGCATTAAATATTAAAAACTTCCCTGAACAGGGCTGCCTTCAGATGTCTTTTAAAGAGAAGATAGCTGCTTATTTCCTTCACATCTGAAGGGAGGGCGTTGCACAGGGAGGGGGCCACTACTGAGAAGGCCCTCTGTCTGCTTCCCTGTAACCTCACGTCTGGCAATGAGGGAACCGCCAGAAGGCCCTCGGCGCTGGACCTCAGTGTCCGGGCAGAACGATGGGGGTGGAGACGCTCCTTCAGGTATACTGGACCGAGGCCGTTTAGGGCTTTAAAGGTCAGCACCAACACTTTGAATTGTGCTCGGAAACGTACTGGGAGCCAATGTAGGTCTTTCAGGACCGGTAGTATATGGTCTCGGCGGCCGCTCCCAGTCACCAGTCTAGCTGCCACATTCTGGATTAATTGCAGTTTCCGGGTCAACCTCAAAGGTAGCCCCACATACAGCGCATTGCAGTAGTCCAAGCAGGAAATAACTAGAGCATGCACCACTCTGGGGAGACAGACTGCGGGCAGGGAGGGTCTCATCCTGCATACCAGATGGAGCTGGTCGACAGCTGCCCTGGACACAGAATTAATCTGTGCCTCCATGGACAGCTGCGAGTCCAAAATGACTCCCAGGCTGCGCACCTGGTCCTTCAGGGGCACAGTTACCCTATTCAGGACCAGGGAGTCTTCCACACCCGCCCGCCCCCTGTCCCCCCAAAACAGTACTTCTGTCTTGTCAGGATTCAACCTCAATCTGTTAGCCGCCATCCATCCTCCAACTGCCTCCAGACACTCACACAGGACCTTCACCCCCTTCACTGGTTCTGATTTAAAAGAGAGGTAGAGCAATAGCCAGGAACGCAACCCTCGCATACGGTGAGATTTACCTGTAGATGGTTAAAGGCCAAAGGCCTGGTTATAGAGGCAAGTTCTTGCCTGGCGCCTAAAAATACGTAACAAAGGTGCAAGATGAGTCTCCCTAGGGGGAGCATTCCACCAATGGGGAGCCACTGCAGAAAAGGCCCCTTCTCGTGTTGCCACCCTCCAGACCTCTCATGGAGGAGGCACACGAAGAAACGGACTCAGAGGATGATCTCAGAGTACAGGTCAGTTCATATGGTTCCTGTGGAAGTTTCCCATTGCTACAAATTCCAAATCGATCCGAGGCAGGTTTGCCCATCACTAGCAGAAAAATACATACATTGAAACGCTCTTCTGCACGAGATCCTTTGCCCTATTTGTCGACTGCTAGCACCTCAGCAAAACGAAAAACCTGTCCCCACGCACTCCCCCCCCGGTGTGCAACCCCACCTGCTGGAGCTCACTGATGAGCTTGTTCTTTTCTTCAATCAGCTGTGCGCAGAGCATCTGCTGTGCATTGAGACCTTCCCAGAGCTCCTGGGGGATGATCTTTTCCTTGGTAGCTCCCCACTTGGAAGTGATCTCGTTAAACTTGTCTTGGTTGGCCTTGGATTCATTCTCCAGCTTCTCCACCCTGCAAAGAGCCAGATGGAGAGAGTTCCCTTCAAGGCGAGTTTGCGAGCAGCCCTCGTCAGTTCTGATCTGAGGCTGAAAATCTATAACGCTGTTGCGGGCTGCTGTGTGACACAGCAGATCAATGATCTTAATCGGGGTCAGAGAACTTACCGCACCTCGGGCCGGTATCTCCAGCGCCGAATGCACGGTGGGCCAGAGGGCAGGGGAGTGTGTGCCCATATGCGTGCGCACACGCAATTTCCGGCACACTTCTGGGTTGGAGGAGCACTGGAAATAGCTTGTGCGCATGTGCATGGGCCGTCTCCGACCCGGATGTGCACCAGAAATAACGCATGCGCATGCGAAAATAACACTTGCGCATGTGCACAAGCTATTTCCGGTGCTCCTCCGACCTGAAAGTGGGCAGCCGCGCAGCGCCAGTAAGAGTGGGCGGCGGCAGCAGGCAGCAGGGGTCACCGCGAGCTGGATAAATGAGTCCCTCGGGGCTTATCCGGCCTGTGGGTCTTAGTTTGGGGACCCCTGATCTTAATCATTTGCTGGCACAAGACCTCTGCCCTCTCCTCTTTGGTCTTTCTTTTTGGCTCGAGCACCAAGTATTTCCAAACAGACACTTTCCTGAAGATCAGGTGCATCTGTAGGCCTGATTCCCAATAGCCCATTGACTCTTTGGGCATTTTGAAGTTCAGTGTAAGTGGCAAGCCCCTCCCCAAAAAGGGGTGTGGCACAACACCCACCCCTCTCAATTAACTGCTATCTCGTTCTTGTAACGCTTTCCCTTTCACCTCCAATTCAGCCTAAGAATCTTAAGCCAATCACAGAATTGCAGAGTTGGAAGGGACCCTGAGGGTCATCCAGTCCAACCCCCTGCAATGAAGGAATCTTAGCCAAACTGCGGGAAAGTATCTGAACTATTGAGGGTAGTGCAATCCCAGAAGTGAGGGCCTCCTCCGAACGGGAACCAGCCTTCAGAAAACCCAGCCAATGTGGGAATAAGCTAGAGGGAAAGGGTGCTTGCTGCCATACAATGTTCTATCAACCCCATGTTTATAATCGCTCATATTTCATGAATTGGAAAAGATGTTGAAATATACATTTATTAAGAAACCAGGGGCCTTTCTTCTTGGAATAACAGGTTTGGAATTGCCCAAGAAAGATGTCAAACTGTTTTTTGTATGCCACAACTGCAGCAAGAATTGATAGCTAAGAATTGGAAAACACAAGAAGTCCCTACAGTGGAGGAATGGCAGGTGAAGATGATGGACTTTTCGGAGCTAGCCGACCTGACTGGAAGAGTCCGCAACCAGAAGGAGGAGGAGTACCAGGAGGAATGGAGGAAATTCAAATTTAGTTAAATACGTTAAGATAATTTAATTAAAAAAGCTTACAAATACCAGATAGGCTTAGGATTTAAATATGTAATGTCAGAGATTAATATGTTTAAAGTCAAAATAGAAAGAAAGGTGTTAAGTGATTAAGTTAATTTTATGAGAAAATTGGTCTTGGAAAACTGTTAAAATGATATACACTGAAATTCAACTAGGGGGATTTGAGGAAGTCACTTAACAACGTTACTAAAATTGGTTTAAATGCAGTTGAGATTTATGTTTGTTTGTTTAAAATTTTTTAGAAAATCGATAAAAAAATGGAATAAAGATATATATAAAACTGCTCATATTTCCATCTCCGAAGGGAAAAATTTGTTTTCTGCTGCTTCAAAGCTCAAGGCCCACACTCACAAGTCCAAATGACAGGAAAGGGGGTGTTGATTCATGTGAGGAAGACCTCCCTGGTTTCACAAGCTCTTTGCCAATAGATGGGACTCCCTAGGAAGATGATGGGTGGTCCTTTGCTATAAGCATTTAAGCTGAGGCCGGGGGGGGGCACCCAGTGTGGGCTGTGAAACATGGGCAGGGACAAAATGAACTCTGAGCTCCCTTCGGACTGTTTGGCTCCATTATACCTTGATGCCAGTGTACTTAAAACAAGGAGGGGCCGCACCTGAAGGACCTAGCGCACACCTTGCAATCAAATTCCCCTCCTGGCTTCAGTTCTCAGCACCTCCAGTTTAAGGAGGTTTCCAGACAGCAGGGGTGGAGCATGGCTGCCAGTCGCAGAGCCCAGCCTAACATGCGTCATAGGACTGCTGTAAAGATGGATACAGATTCTGCTGGCACAAAAATGGAAGCAAGAAGAACTACCGATGAAAGAAGAATAGCGGATGAAATTGATGGACTATGCAGAACTGGATAAATTAACAGGAAGGATTCGAAACCTGCGGGACCAGAGATTCTTAGAAGACTGGAGTAAATATACGAACTATTTGAAAAGCAATTGTAATGAACAGATTACGCTAGTAGGACTGCAAGAAGTTCTGTAAGGAGGACTATCTGAAATATTGCCAGAAAGACTATGAGGAGAATTATTAGTTAACGATAATTAAGAGTAATAGAGAAATTAAGAAATGCGGAATACGTGATAAAGAACGGAAAATCATCAGAGGTGTTGACGGAAGTCTAAAATACTGTATAAGATAAGAAGTTATGTTATATGATTGTTGGAAATGATACGTTTAAAAAACTAATAAAAATGTGTGTGTGTGTATATATATATATATATACATACACACACACACACACATACATATACATACACACACACACACACACACATATAGTTATACCTCGGGATAAATACGCTTCAGGATAAGTATTTTCGGGTTGTGCTCCGCGGCGACCCAGAGGTAACAGAGCACGTTACTTCCGGGTTTCGCTGCTCAAACATGCGCAGATGGTCAAAATGACGTCACACGCATTTGCAGAAGCAGCAAAATGCGACCTGCGCATGCGCAGATGCGCTTGTACATCTTACGTTCTATTCAGGATGAGAACGGGGCTCCGGAACGGATCCCGTTCACATCCCGAGGTACCACTGTGTATACATACATATATATATATATATATATATATATATATATATATATATATGTGTATATATATATATATGGATGGGTACAGATTCCGAGCTCCTTGCAGGAAGGGCAGGCTATAAAACTGGTTAAAAAAAATAATGTATGGGCCAACATTCTGATTTAGTGCAAAGCAGTTTATCAGGTCCACGTTCCGCACACTGGAACCTGCAGTTCTCTCAAGCCTGAATCAGAATGTTGAACCTGGGAGTGGACGTCTTTTCTGACCCCTTGGTCAAAGTGAAGATCGCGCTGAGTTCCCAAGGGAACCACTGGCTGGCTCTGATCTCTCCTGCCTCTTTCCCAGATAAAAAGGTAAAGGGACCCCTGACCATTAGGTCCAGTCGTAACCAACTCTGGGGCTGCGGAGCTCATCTCACTTTATTGGCCGAGGGAGCCAGTGTAGATCTTCTGGGTCATGTGACCAGCATGACTAAGCCGCTTCTGGCGAACCAGAGCAGCACACGGAAACAGTGTTTACCTTCCCGCCGGAGTGGTACCTATTTATCTACTTGCATTTTGACGTGCTTTCTAATTGCTAGGTTGGCAGGAGCAGGGACCGAGCAACGGGAGCTCACCCCGTCACGGGGATTCGAACCGCCGACCTTCTGATCGGCAAGCCCTAGGCTCTGTGGTTTAACCCACAGCGCCACCCGCGTCCCCTTTCCCAGATATCCCCCAGTTAAAGAGGATGCCTCAGCCCAGCGCTTACCTTTGCCGATTCAGCTCCTCTTCCTCTGCCCTCCTGTGCGTCTCTCGAGAATCAGCTGCCACCTGGATGTTTGTCACTAGCTGTGTGCCATCGATCAGCAGCTTAGTCAACCTCTGAGCAGAGAAGAGAACATATTATAAGAGGGTCATTCTAAGCTAACGCAGACATGAAATGATTGAGGCGGTATCTTTTGACCAACCAGACTGATTTATGTTGCTAAAGATAAAGGGACTCCTGACCGTTAGGTACAGTTGCGAATGACTCTGGGGTTGCGGTGCTCATCTCGTTTTATTGGCCGAGGGAGCCAGCGTACAGCTTCCGGGTCGTGTGGCCAGCATGACCAAGCTGCTTCTGGCGAACCAGAGCAGTGCACGGCAATGCCGTTTACCTTCCCACTGGAGCGGTACCTATTTATCTATTTGCACTTTGACATGCTTTTGAACTGCTAGGCTGGCAGGAGCAGGGACCGAGCAACAGGAGCTCACCCTGTTGCGGGGATTCGAACCGCCGACCTTCTGATCGGCAAGCCCTAGGCTCTGTGGTTTAATCCACAGCGCCACTTCTAGGGGAAAAAAAACAGCAACCCTGCAGGGTCTGCAACTGTGAAGCTGTGCTATACAGATGTATCTTGGCAATAGGAATGAAGTGACCGTAATTTCCACCTTGAGTTCAGTTCCCTCCTGAAAGTTGAGGTTCTTTCAGCCGATTCTTGCCAGCCCTACCTCCTTCTCCAGAGTTGCAGCTACTACTAACTTCTGCCAGCTAGGCTACTTAGTCCAGGGGGCATTTCACTTTGCTCTCGCTGGCAACTGAAAAATTAAGATACAGTGGTACCCTGGTTCTCAAACGCCTTGGTACTCAAACAACTTGGAACCCAAACACTGCAAACCCGGAAGAAACTGTTCCAGTTTGCGAACTTTTTCCGGAAGCTGAACATGCCCCGTTTTGAGTGTTACGCTTGAGTGTTTTGAGTGTTATGGTGAGGTCTTTTTTGCTATTTATTTTGTGTTTTTGCGGCTCTTTTCATTTTGTTTTTGTGACTGTGTGGAACCCAGTTAAGCTACTGACGGATTGATTGTGTGACTGCAATACATTGTTTACTGCTTTCATTTTATGGATCAATGGTCTCGTTAGATAGTAAAATTCATGTTAAATCACTGTTTTAGGGGTTGTTTTTAAAAGTCTGGAACGGATTAATCGGTTTTGCATTACTTTCTATGGGAAAGCACACCTTGGTTTTGGAACACTTTGGTTTTGGGACTTCTGGAACGGACTAAGTTTGAGAACCAAGTCATCACTGTATATTGATACCAATGTTAACTTACTGTGGTTTTTTTTGCTATTCTCTTTCATATGGATAGCGATGGATTGGGTTTCTTTTTGCCACGCTGTGCTGTGAACTGATTGAATGCAATTTGGGGAAATCATACACAAAAACGCCCCGGTTCCCTCGCTGAGTCCTAACCTGTCTGCTGTCCTCTATCTGTTTGTGGCTCCGACTCTGCTCCTCTTCCACCAGCTTATGTGCATCTGGATCTTCTCCAAGGGCCTCCCTGGAAAAGAGCCCCAAAGGGGCATGTTCATCCCACCCTGTGCCTGGACTAACGTTTGGGGATCTCCAGACCTGAAACCAGAGTGACTCTGGATAGGGAGCTCTGGGGGAAAGTGGTGGGTGGGGGATCCCAAAAGGGTGTGGGTGGGAAACATGGGGGTCTTAAGAAGTGGGATGCTGGGACCATTTCTGCGTCTGGGGTTGGGCTGTGGGAGGAGAGGTTCAGAGCTGGGTGGCAGATCACCCAACATGCGTCAGGATTCACAACCTCCCCCTCCCCTCGGAAGGGTCTCCCAGAGGTCCTCTAGCCAGACCCCCTCGCGATGCGTCCCCTCCCCTCCCCACTCCCCTAGGATGGGTCTCCCAGAGGTCATCTGGCCGGATCCCACTCACGATGCCTCCCCTTCCCTCCTCCCATGGAAGGGGATCCTAGAGGTCCTCTAGCTGCCCCCCCCCGCGATGCCAGCATTGTGCTTCCCCCTCCCTTGGAAGGGGTTCCTAGAGGTGCTCTAGCCAGACCCCTCTCGTGATGCCTCACCTTCCTTCCCCCCTTGGAAGGTACACCCAGAGGTCCTCTAGACCGACCCCCTCACGATGTCTCCCCGTCCCTCCCCCTCGCAAGGTAGACCCAGAGGTCCTCTAGTCCGACCCCCTTGTGATGCCAGCGTTGTGCCTTCCCCTTCCCTGGGAAGGGGATCCTAGAGGTCCTCTAGCCGGAACCCCCTCGTGATGCCTCCCCGTCCCTCCCCCTCCCCTCCGAAGGGGCCCCCAGAGGTCCTCTAGCCGGACCCCCTCGCGATGCCTCCCCGTCCCTCCCCCTCCCCTCGGAAGGGGTCCCCAGAGGTCCTCTAGCCGGACCCCACACGCGATGCCTCCCCGTCCCTCCCCCTCCCCTCCGAAGGGGCCCCCAGAGGTCCTCTAGCCGGACCCCCTCGCGATGCATCCCCTCCCCTCCCCCCTCCCCTAGGATGGGTCTCCCAGAGGTCCTCTAGCCGGACCCCACACGCGATGCCTCCCGGTCCCTCCCCCTCCCCTCCGAAGGGGCCCCCAGAGGTCCTCTAGCCGGACCCCACACGCGATGCGTCCCCTCCCCTCTCCCCTCGGAAGGGGCCCCCAGAGGTCCTCTAGCCGGACCCCTACCTCCTCTTGGCCTCGAGGCGGGCGGCGATGCGGAGGCGCCGGGCGGCGATGCGCTCCTGCGGGTCCTCGGAGGCGAGGTTGGGCGCCTTGGCTCGCGCGCCTCCCCCCGCGCCCTCGCCGCCGCCCTCCTCCGCCCCCTCCGCCCCGCCGCCCCCTTCGCCCTCCGAGCTCATCCCGACGCCCCACCAGGCCCGGCGCCCTCCGTCGCCAGGGCAACGCCGTCGCTAGGAAACCGGAGCCCGCGCCGCGGCGTCACGACGCCACGTGCGTGCCGGCGTCTGCCTTCTTGAAACGTAGAGCTAGTAATGTAGACCGGCGCGCGGCGCCGGCTTCCGGGTGCATTGCAGGCTGCGAGGAGGTGGGGGCAGATTTCGCTTATTTCAGGAGTTTCTTGCAAAGGGACAGATCCTTGCAATTCATATCTGCAGGGGAGAGGCGTCCTCGTAGGGAAATGTCGCGCAACCCACTTTAAGTGGGCATTATTATTATTGTTATTTAAGGTAAAATGTGTATTGCATTATTATTAATATTATTATTATTATTTGCGTTTACATACCGCCCTATACCCGGAGGTCTCAGGGCAGTTCACAGAAAATCAAAATATAAAACCACAAAACATAAAAAATATTTTCTATTTTTTTAAAAATAAAATTTCATTAAAAGTTTATAGAAAATGATATAAAACAAAATCATTTTATAAAACTTTTATACGTAAAATAATTTTTTAAATATATTTTATATAAAATATAAAATAAAAACAGCAACCCAATAACCCCCTGTAAAAACCCCACATTTTAAGTGCATTGAATTATGATGATGATGATTTCTTAGCTCCGTTACATTGATATCCCCGCCTTTCCTCCAAGGAGCCCATAAAATATAAAATATTTATATAAAATAAAGCATTTTAATAAAAAATATATATAATAAAATAATTTTATAAAAAATTATACATGAAATAAAATAATTTTATAAAAAATTATACATAAAATAAAACCTTTTTTATATTTTATATAAAATATAAAATAAAAACAGCAACGCAATAGCCCTCTCTAAAAAACCCACATTTTAAAATCACATAGAATTATGATGATGATGATTTCTTAGCTCCCTGTGAGGTAGGCTGCTGCTCTCATTTTTATTAGTTGATTCTTAAATTTGCAACCCGCCTTCTAACTTGGGTTCCCAGCCGTTGTCAGACTACAAACTCCATCATCCCTAGCTAGCAGGACCAGTGGTCAGGGATGATGGGGCTTGTAGTCCAAAACTGGAGCTGGAGACCCAAGTTTGGGAAACCCTGTTCTAAGGAGCTCAAGGTCGGGTACCATAGTTCTTCTCTTCCTCCTCTATTTCATCCTCACAACACCCCTGTGAGGTACCGTATTTTTCGCTCCATAAGGCGCACCTGACAAAAAGACGCAGCTAGTTTTTAGGGGAGGAAAACAAGAAAAAAAAAATATTCTGAACAAAACAGTGGATGTATGGTTTTTGTGGTTCATGCTGTGGCCACAGACGTGTGATTGGACGGTGAGTTTGGGGTAGCCCAATGCAAAAATCCTGAGGATCCATGTGGATCTGTGCTTTGTAACCACGTTTTTGCACCACTGCGGCCCCAGGAAACAGTGGGTGCCTGATTTTTTGGGTGCAGGCTGTAGCCATGGACATGCTATGTGATCTGATGGTGAATTTGGGGTGACCCAATGCAAAAATCCTGAGGATCCATGTGGATCCGTGCTTTGTGACCATGTTTTAAGTGGGGAGGGAAGGAAAAACACTGAAGGGACAAGGAGCATGTGTGGGGTGTGTGGAGAAGGAGCTTTTCAGCTCGCTGAGCAGGGGAGGAAGAGAGGGAAAGAGAGCACGGTTGCTTTAAAGGAGCCAACTGGACAGGAGCTGCTTACACCCGTGTAAGTGGCTCCTCTCCTCTCCTGCTTTGCACCTTTAAAGCAAGCGGACTCTCCTTATCTCCCTCCTCCCCGGCTTTGCTGCTATTTAGCGAGCTGAGCAGGGAGGAGGGAAGGAAAGAGAACACGGTTGCTTTAAAGGAGCCAACCGGACAGGAGCCGCTTACACTCGTGTAAGAGGCTCCTCTCCTGCTTGGCTGCTTCAAAGCGAGCGACGAAGGAGGGAAGGAAGGGGAACCATGGATCCTCTGCTCACGACTGCAGCAGATCCCCCCCGCCATCCGTAGGCATTCGCTCCATAAGACGCACAGACATTTTCCCTTACTTTTTAGGAGAGAAAAAGTGCGTGTTATGGAGCGAAAAATACGGTAGGTTAGTCTGAGAGGCAGTGACAGGCTCAAGGTTACCCAGTAAGCTTTGCTGCTGAGTGGGGAGATTTGCACCCAGGTCTCCCAGGTCCTAGGACTTGCCGATCGTCAGGTCGGCGGTTCGAATCCCCGTGGCGGGGTGTGCTCCCGTCGTTCGGTCCCAGCGCCTGCCAACCTAGCAGTTCGAAAGCACCTCCGGGTGCAAGTAGATAAATAGGGACCGCTTACCAGCGGGAAGGTAAACGGCGTTCCGTGTGCTGCGCTGGCTCGCCAGATGCAGCTTGTCACGCTGGCCACGTGACCCGGAAGTGTCTGCGGACAGCGCTGGCTCCCGGCCTATAGAGTGAGATGAGCGCACAACCCCAGAGTCTGGCAAGACTGGCCCAAACGGGCATGGGTACTATTTACTTTTACCTTTACTCCCAGGTCCTAATCTGACGCTCTAACCATCACACCACACTGCCTCGCCAGCTAACTGCAGCCTGCCATCCCATTTGCCAGGATCCTGGAAGGTGCCAAACAGATGGTTTCCATGAGGCGGCCTGCAGTTAATGCCAGCATTCAGGGGGTTGGTCTGGATGACCCTTGGGGTCCCTTCCAACTGTCCAGTTCTAGGATTCTATGGCAAATTTTTCTCGGGCGGGAGCAGCTCGTTTAAAACCCAGCCGGTTGAATAAACACCCAGCAATAAAAGATAACGGGAGAGGATTTACCCCAGCAAATTATTTGTCAAAATTACAAATACCCAAATACAGATGGTCATTTACCCTCGCTAGATTCAATGTGCTGCCATCTGCCTTATTGCAGGGCAGATTCGAGGGTAAACCGTACGTGGAACGAGTCTGCCCCTGCAGTTTGATGGAGGAAGAAACTGTCTCTCATGCCGTTTCTACGGGGATCTACGCTCGGCATTTATCACTCCTGTTATACAAAAATCTCCAAATGGGTCCAAACTTCAGTGTCTAAAACTCCTGGTAGAGGACAAGAATCTAGAGATCACGCTGTGTGTGGCCAAATTCTGTGCGACTGCCATAAAACTTAGGGAACAAGCTGTACTACCAAAATGATTAAAGTTTTAAATGACAATTTTAGGTTACATTTTAGTGATCAAGATTTAATATATATTGTTAACTGCCGCTATATTTGAATTGTCTCTGTATATCCAATTGCAATTCAATGTATTCCTGTTGTGTTTTATGATTTTCCTGATATTGTAAGTGAGCTGGAACTGGTCTGTGACCGTAATAATAAAATTCATTCATTCAACCCAGCCGGTAACCTGAGCAGAGTCTGCTTTCCAACTTTGCAGTTGTTGATAATAATAGTAATAGTAATAGTAACACTTTATTTATACCCCACCTTTTTCCCCTCAGAAGGTGGTTTATATGTAAAAAAATAATAGCTAAAAACATGGGGGGACCAGGACAATAAAAACACTAAACATGAATAGAATTTAAAAATTCTCTCTAAGTCTATATGTAAAGGTAAAGGGACCCCTGACCATTAGGTTCAGTCGTGACCGACTCTGGGGTTGCAGCGCTCATCTCTCTTTACTGGCTTCCGGGTCATGTGGCCAGCATGGCAAAGCTGCTTCTGGCGAACCAGAGCAGTGCACAGAAACGCTGTTTACCTTCCCGCCGGAGCGGTACCTATTTATCTACTTGCACTTTGACATGCTTTCGAACTGCTAGGTTGGCAGGAGCAGGGACTGAGCAATGGGAGCTCACCCCGTTGCGGGGATTCGAACTGCCAACCTTCTGATCGGCAAGCCCTAGGCTCTGTGGTTTAACCCACAGCGCCACCCGCGTCCCCAAATATATATAGAGAGGCAGAGTATAGTAATAATTTCCTCCTCCTCCTCCTCCTCCTCCTCCTCCACCTCCTCCTCCTCTTCTTCTTCCTCTTCCTCTTCATTTTCTTCTATTTATATTCCACCTCTCCGCCCAAGGAGCGCAAGGTGCTATACATGGTTTCCCCCCCTCCCTCATTAAACCCCTACAACAACCCTGTGAGGTAGGTTAGGCTGCTCGAAGGTCACACCCCATGCATTTCAGAACCGAGTGCGGAACAGTGTTAGCAGCTCGGCTCCTGCAAAACTATCTCATTTCTACCGACAATATTTTGGAAGGATTGGGGGCGCAGCGCATGCAATTGCGAAGTCAAGCTTGGGGATCGGGTGAAGGAAGAGCAGCTTTCGAAGTGGATTTGCGAAGTCCTTGCTGGCTTTTGCACAGAGGTTGCTAAGCCGTTTCCCGACAGCCTCTCCTTATGATGCGCTCTGTGTGATGTCACGCAGAGTTGGAACAGGTTGCCGGGCGAACCTTCAGACGCCACATCACTCGAGTCTTTGGACAAGGGGCGGCTTCATGGCTTTTTTCCCGGCCAATCTGGAGGCCTCTCGGCCAGATCTGGACCAGAAGACACCTCTGGTAGACACCCCCCTTTCTGTCTTTCCTCCTTTTCCCATCCCCTATGGAGCAAGTACTCAGCTCCACACTTAGTTCAGCCCAGGCAATATATATATGTGTGACGCAGGTGGCGCTGTGGTCTAAACCACTGAGCCTCTTGGGCTTGCTGACCGGAAGGTTGGCGGTTCGAATCCCCGCGATGGGGTGAGCTCCCGTTGCTCTGTCCCAGCTCCTGCCAACTTAGCAATTTGAAAGCACACCAGCGCAAGTAGATAAACAGGTACCACTGTGGCGGGATGGTAAATGGCATTTCCATGCGCTCTGGCTTCTGTCACGGTGTCCTGTTGCTCCAGAAGCGGTTTAGTCCTGCTGGCCACATGACCCGGAAAGCTGTCTTGGGACATTAGCTGGCTCTCGCGGCCTGAAAGCGACATGAGCGCCGCAACCCCATAGTCGCCTTTGGCTGGACGTAACCATCCAGGGGTCCTTTACCTTTACTTACATTCAATCAATCCATCTATCAGTTGCCTCTGATCAACAGACCTCTTACTTCATAGCGAATAAGCAATGTTCAAAAATTAAACACAGCAAAGTGGTCTTGGCAATCTGGACAGTTTATAGAGGCAGAAACGCACTTCAGCAATTTCACTGATTTATTTAATTAAGGCAATATGTTGTTTTTTTCTCATAATGTGTTTTATATTTGACTTCCTTTAATAATGCTTTATTACTAAAGTTGCAAGATAATTTTGGGCTTTGTTTCATTTTCGGAGCCCTGTTCTAAGCCTGAGTAGGATAAAACGATTCTTTCTCCTGCAAGCCTGCTCATTTCATGTCTGACCAGGATACAGCTCGGACCCTGTCGCACCCCTGATGGTGCCAACGGAAGCACAAGAGGGCCTGGTCCCTTTCCAAGGTCACTTTTGCACCCCTCATGGACCTGTTGGGATCTCCGCTCGGCCAAGCTGATAAAGCTCATCTTCCTCCGGCTGAGTCCTTCGGAATCGCCTCCAACGTAATTAACGACCTGAGCCTTTGATGAGGCCTCAGGCACATTCCCATCCAGCAGAGAATCAAAGCAGCACGCGGAAGTGATGAGATTTATGGCTACATTGCAAAGCTTTATTTTCTAAGCTACGCAGACAGAAAAGAAATCATCCTCTCTCTGTGAAAGCAGAGAGCAACTGAACCAAACAAAAGGAACAGGAAACCAGTAACGTCACATCCGTCTCCCGTCTCCCAACAGTATGGAATCCCAGGAATGTAAACAGAGTCCTGTGACTTCAAATGGACTTCCCCTTTGGCAAAGAGAAACTAACAGGACCTGCCTGCCTCCCCCCTAAAGCCCCCCCCAAGTCACCTGCTTACCTGGCTTCCAGCAGCAGCCAAAGTCTTCCTCCTTTCTCACCCTCTGTGAAGCCAGTCCTGCTGTGGAAAGCCACGTTCCTGGGATCTACCTTTGCAGCCCACAGAGTTGGCCAGGTGGGCAGGAAAGAGCAGGGAGGAGGGACCTACCTCTGTTGTCTTGAGCACTGATGGAGCAGCGAGGAGAAGGGGGCAGGAGGGATCAGTGGGTGGAAAACACGTGAGGATGGAGAGATGAACGCAGACCATGCAGCAAGCACAGGTGTGCCTGAGAAGGTGTATTCAGCTTCTGAAGAAAGGGGCCTTTGTGAGTCCCCAGCCATGCAGGAGTTTGCTTGCGCCTGGCGACTTTGCAAAAGGAGGTGTTCGGGTGCAGAACACATGGGCCAAAAGGAAATGAAAAGGAGATAGAGGGAAATGAGCAGGAGGCGAAGAGGGAAGAAGAAGTTCGTGCTATTCTAGGCTGCATCAGCAGAAGTCAAGGGATGTCTTAGTCCCCCTTTATTCTGCCTTGGTGGGACGCAGGTGGCACTGTGGGTTAAACCACAGAGCCTAGGACTTGCCGATCAGAAGGTCAGCAGATTGAATCCCTGCGACGGGGTGAGCTCCTGTTGCTCGGTCCCTGCTCCTGCCAACCTAGCAGTTCAAAAGCATGTCCAAGTGCAAGTAGATAAATAGGTACTGCTCTGGCGGGAAGGTAAACAGCATTTCCGTGTGCTGCTCTGGTTCGCCAGAAGCGGCTTAGTCATGCTGGCCACATGATCTGGAAGCTGTATGCTTGCTCCCTCGGCAAATAAAGCGAGATGAGCGCCACAACCCCAGAGTCGGCCACGACTGGACCTAATGGTCAGGGATCCCTTTACCTTTACCTCTAACCTGCCTTGGTCAGACCCTCACCTGGAATACTGTGTCCGATTCTGGGCACCACAATTTAAGAAGGATGTTGACAAGCTGGGAGGTGTGCAGAAAGCGCCGAGCCGTTTGGGGAGGGCACGTGAGAAGGGGCTAAACAGCTTTGCGCCCTTCGATCCCAGCCTTACCATTGTAGGCTAGGGTCCGTCTCATGCCTCCCTCCCTGAGCAGCTTTGCAAAGCTGGGATCTGATTAGATCCCAACCTCACAAAGCTGCACAGGGCTGGCTTGGGGAGGGTGGTGTGAGCCGCCCCTGCCCCACCCACAATGAGCCAGGGGCAATCATCTCTGCTGCAACTCCCATGTTATGCAGCTGCTCCCAGTGGCTGACCAATACCTCTTCTGGGAAACCCATGAGCAGAATTTGAACATGAGATAATAAAATAACAACAACAACAACAACAACAACAACAACCATTTATTATTTATACTCAACCCATCTTGATGGGCTTCCCCAGCCACTCTGGGCAGCTTCCAACAAAATATTAAAATACAGTAATGCATCAAACATTAAAAGCTTCCCTAAACAGGGCTGCCTTCAGATGTCTTCTAAAAGTCTGGTAGTTGTTTTTCTCTTTGACATCTGGTGGGAGGGCATTCCACAGGGTGGGTGCCACTACCAAGAAGGCCCTCTGCCTGGTTCCCTGTAATTTGGCTTCTCGCAATGACGGAACCACCAGAAGGCCCTCAGTGCTGGACCTCAGTGTCCAGGTTGAGCGATGGGGGTGGAGATGCTCCTTCAGATATACTGGACTGAGGCCATTTAGGGCTTTCAAGGTCAGCACCAACACTTTGAACTGTGCTTGGAAACGTACTGGGAGCCAATGTAGGTCTTTCAAGACCGGTGTTATGTGGTCTCGGCGGCCGCTCCCAGTTACCAGTCTAGCTGCCGCATTCTGGATTAGTTGTAGTTTCCGGGTCACCTTCAAAGGGAGCCCCACATAGAGAGCACTGCAGTAGTCCCAGCGGGAGATAACTAGAGCACGCACCGCTCTGGCGAGGCAGTCTGCAGGCAGATAGGGTCTCATCCTGCGTACCAGGTGGAGCTGGTAGACAGCTGCCCTGGACACAGAATGGACCTGTGCCTCCATGGACAGCTGTGAGTCCAGAATGACTCCAAGGCTGCGCACCTGGTCCCTCAGGGGCACAGTTGCCCCATTCAGGACCAGGGAGTCCTGTCCCCCAAAAACAGTACTACTGTCTTGTCAGGATTCAACCTCAATCTGTTATCCGCCATCCATCCTCCAACCGCCTCCAGACACTGCAAGATTACTCTTGCAGTTTCCAGCAAGTGGTATGCAAAAGCACAGCTGCTTCTGAGTGTGGAGACAGAACACAACCATCCTGGCTGGTCGCCATCGATAGCCTTCTCCTCCTCCATGGATTTGCCCAACCTTCTTGGCTCTTGGTCTCCTCCAAGCATTTGAAGCTCTTTGTTTTTATAACACAAGAATCAAATCAAAGGGAGATAATGGCGCTGCTCCCTTGGGTCTCCAGTGCTGCCCTCTCCATCCATGGAACCTTGGGGTCTCAGTTATCCCTGTGAGGTTGCCAGGGAGACGAACTGCCACCTGGACCCTGCTCTGGAAGCGAAGATGCCCCGTGCCAATGAACCCTTACAGGAGCTATGAGGACTTCTCCCGCGTTCCCTCGGCCTCCCGCCGGCGCCGTTCCCTGCGTCACTGTAGCTCCCAGCCCTGCTTCGTCTCCTGCACCTTCTACACACCCATCTGCTTGCCCTTTTTGCACGATGAAATGAAATTCAGCCCCAAGGCGAGTTTAAGGGGCAGGGGAAGCTGGGAGGGGGGCACCTGGAACGCTGCTTTCATAACCGCCGCTGGAATGTCTGGATAACTCAGTTTTAATGTCTCCCGTGGTTCTCCATGAATTTTTGGATATGCATTTTTTAGCAGGTGGAATCTGCCCTGGGGGCCATCTTGAGGGCTGAAAGGCAGGCTGTACATTTTATTTATTTTACTTTTATTTAATAAATGCATAAAACTCAGCGCAGGGGGCGGGGGAGAGAAAATGTGCCTTCCTTCACACCGGTCTGTCCTTTGGTGCTGACTCTCTTATGCAGACGGCATTCTGCAAGTAACATTTCTAGAAGTCTCCAACAAATGAAAAAGGAAGGCAAATCATAAAATCATAGAATTGTAGAGTTGGAAAGGACTCCAAGGGTCATCCAGTCCAACCCCCTGCAATGCAGGGGATGAATCAGCGAATAGAGGGGAGGTCCAAAAACTATCTACATGGTGCCTAGGGAACAACTTGCACTCTAATATCAGCAAGACAAAGGAGATGGTGTTGGACTTTTGGAGGAAGAGAGGAGAACTAGCCCCGCTGTACGTCGGGGAGGGCTGTGTGGAGACAGTCTCTTCCTTTAAATTCCTAGCAGTTTATCTCAGTGAAGACCTTCCTTGGAAAATCAATACAACCCAGGTGGTTAAGAAAGCCCAATCTCCTCAGAGTATTGTGGAAGAACGATGTCAATCAACATTTGATGATCTCCTTCTACAGGTCCACAATAGAAAGTGTCCTTTCATGCTGCATCACAGTGTGGTACGCTGGTTTGACATCATCTGATAGGAAGTGCCTGCAGAGGGTGGTGAATACAGCACAAGATATTATGGGCTGTCCCGTGAATCCGCTGGATGACATCGCGGACGAACGTTGCCTCAGGAGAGTGAGGAAAATTCTTAGGGAAGATTCACACCCTAGCCGGCACTTTCTTGATCTCCTGCCCTCGGGCAGAAGATATAGAAGCAGGATTAGTCGCCCCAACAGGGTAAAGAACAGCTTCTATCCTGGGCTGTTAGGCTGCTGAATGAAAAGATAACAACAGGGCAACTGACTTTCGGGTTTGGTGGGTGTGCGTCAGTAAACGAGGGGAATTAAAACTAAGAGAGCTGAGTGGGGGGTGCTGGTGTAATCTCGCTGTATACAAGTTGTACAAGTGACAATAAAGTATAAAGTATAATGCAGGAATCTCAGCTAAAGCATCCATGGCAGATGGGCGCCCAACCTCAGCTTAAAATCTCCAAGGAAGGAGATTTAATCTCTTTAACCTTCTCTAAACACACACACAGATCTTCCAACCATTCCTTGTAGAACTTGTTCACCACCAGACTCCTCACCATACTGGTCTCCTTTGGACACATTTTCTTTTTTTTTCTTTTTTTTTTTAAAGAATATTTATTCCAATTTTAAAGTTACAAAAAAAATATAGAAAAGGAAAAACACAAACCACATACATCTTACAAAAAACAGACAACAAAAAAGAAATAAAAAAGACAAAAAATCACAGTAGAAAATAACAAAAATCAAATTAGACCATTACAACCATTTTCCCATTTGCTTGTTTCCATGACTTCCTCTCACCTCCCTGCTTTGTATTCTAGTTTAAATCGTATCTCCAGCAAATCCTTCTAACCTTCTTTTCTTTTACTTATTTTAACATTCGAAAGTATTTAATTCTCCTCTATCCTCATTTTACACTTCATGTTTACTTATTCCATTATACCCTGTCTGCCAATACGGTCTAATATTCTTCTCCAACCTTTTTCTAACATTCTTCCTTTGGACACATTTTCTGAAAGCATGGGTGCTATCCTATGGCAGTGAGACTCTGATGGACCCCATACTGAACAGATGTTCTAGGAGCAAGTGAAGTTTCTCAGATTCTTAGGGACAGTTATTGTGGACATTGTGAAAGATACATGTTGTTCTAGGAGTTATGGGCCCATGAAAGTTCCTCATGGGTTGAGTGGCTTGTGTGCTCTTGTTGTTGGTGGTGGTTTTTTCGCTTAGCTCCTCCACACTTATTGCCCAGAGCTTGTACCCCTTTGCAGCCGATGCTCTTGCACCAATCCTACTGGAACTCAGCACTGGGAGAGCCACAAAAGTTATCTCCATGGAGAATCAACACCTTCCTCCTGAGATGTGAAGGCATCATCCCAACAGTGAGGTTCCATGTCATAATGTTCGTGGAAACAAACACGGCCGGAAACATCTCTTCGTCTCTCCTCTGGGACACACTAAAAGACTATTTAAGAGGATTTATCATTTGCTACACAGCATGTTGGAAGAGGAGGAGGAGAAGGAGGAACTCAGGGTGGGAAAACCGGTCGCCCTAGAAACCAAACAAACCCCAGGCTCCATAAGAATAACATCTGCCGGAATCAAGGCTCCAGTTAAGAAAAGATACGAGGCTTTCTGATCAGCTCCAACTTCCCCCTGCCCTGAATTAGAGCAAACATCTTGGGAGTTAAGAGGGAAAGTCTTAGCTTTTTCCTCTTAGAGCATGCAATGTAAGTTTCTTTCTGCTGTTAGGGACTAGAAGGCTATTCTGCACATAACTCAGAAAGCAATAAGTGAGCAACTGGGGTTTTCAGAATAATAATAGTTGTTATCTGGCATTATATAAGGCAAAGCCGAGCCCACAGAGGTGATCTCTGTTTTCTTACAACTGATATATCTTCCCCAAATATGCAGGAGATTGGAGGCCGCTATAGTCTTCTGAAAGGTAAGAGGTCAGAAGTGAAAAAGGAACTGGCAAGGCCCTTGCTGCGGTGGGGAATGATTCACATCTCTCAGTGAATCATGTCACCATTCTAAAACAAAGCAGAGGAAATGTGGGAAGAAAGCCCTGTTCCAAGTATGAAGCCTCGGTTATGGGGTTCTTCAGGCCCAGAGAGGACATCTCATGGAAGGGATCCTGAGGGTCATCTATTCAATTACCAAACAACTACCAAACTTTTAGAAGACATCTGAAGGCAGCCCTGTTTAAGGAAGCTTTTAATGTTTGATATATTGTTGTTTAGTCATTTAGTCGTGTCCGCCTCTTCGTGACCCCATGGACCAGAGCATGCCAGGCACTCCTGTCTTCCACTGCCTCCCGCAGTTTGGTCAAACTCATGCTGGTAGCTTTGAGAACACTGTCCCACCATCTCGTCCTCTGTCGTCCCCTTCTCCTTGTGCCCTCCATCTTTCCCAACATCAGGGTCTTTTCCAGGGAGTCTTCTCTTCTCATGAGGTGGCCAAAGTATTAGAGCCTCAGCTTCACAATCTGTCCTTCCAGTGAGCGATTTCCTTCAGAATGGAGAGGTTTGATCTTCTTGCAGTCCATGGGACTCTCAAGAGTTTGATGTATTACTGTATTTTAATATTTGGCTGGAAGCCGCCCAGAGTGGCTGGGGAAGCCCAGCCAGATAAGCAGGGTATAAATAAATTTATTATTATTATTATTATTATTATTATTATTATTATTATTATTATTACTACTACTACTACTACTACTACTATTCCAACCCCCTGCAGTGCAGGAATTCATGCAGCTAACAGGGACCAAACCAGCACCATGCTCTAACCAACTGAGCTACCCAGCTATTCAACAATGAAACTCAGCCAATTTCCCTTTGAGGGTGTTAGTTGCAAAATCCTCACTGCATCTGTTGGGACTCCGCATTTGCAAACTCCACGCTGTCTCCCCAGAGGGCTGCAACCCCAACAGACAAGGGCCAGATCAGATCTGTGAGATAATTTGGCTTCTTGATGCTAAAGTCAAAAGACGGGGCTTGTCTCAAGATACTGTCACCGGATACTGAATATGTTATGTCCTGAAGTTCTCACCCTGGGCCAGCAGGGGGATACTGTAGATAGTTTTCACTCAGGTCCGCATATGCAAATAAGGAATTGAAAGTGACGTTCAGTGATTGGATAGTTACAGAAAGTTGTTACAGTTACGTTGTACTGGAGCTCTATATAAGCAGGCTGGCTGAACCCTTCAGTTCAGTTCTGGCCTGTGAATACACAAGAGCTGTCTGAAGAATCGCTGTGTCGTCTGATATGTTCACCCACAACTTAACACTGGTGAAGAAGGTTGGATTGATGGACATCAGAGCACAGCCAGATGCGGCCACCTTCTGAGCTGAGCTGAATCACGGAGCTAAAACACTGAGCGAAATCACGGAGTAGAACCAATTCAGAGCTGACTGTTCTGGCTAGAGCACAGTGTTCCATCCATCGCCCTCCACGTCGGCATCGGAACCATGGCTTCACTCGTGCCTCTACTGCCGTTTGCCCCAGCCTCTAAATCATGGGATGCCTACCTCGCTCGGTTCGACTGCTACCTCCAAGCAAATGAGCTGACAAGAGATCTGTAGAGCATAAGCGGGGCCTCTTCCTCAGCCTTTGTGACCCTGACAGAATATATATTCGAACATACGTCACCGGGAATTTTTCTATCAGACTTTTGCTGCCTTCACTTCCCCACAATCCACACCTATGCACTGAAAGGACGTTCAGCACATGCCTAAAGCGCATGGCTGCTCCCGAGTGGCAGACTTGTGAAAAAGGAGGAGAGGTGGGCCGCCTCGGTGATGAAACTTGCCACCATTTGCAGAATCATGCCAAGACTACTCCAACCACCGACATGGTTCAATGGGAAGAAATGTCTGAGTTGAGCAGCTCAAATGGTTATCAGATGAAATCAATCCTGTCCATTTATGATTACAGTGGTACCTCAGTTTACAGACACTTCAGGTTACAGACTTTGCTAACCCAGAAGTAGTACCTCACGTTAAGAACTTTACTTCAGGATGAGAACAGAAATTGCGTAGCGGCAGTGGGAGGCCCCATTAGCTAAAGTGGTGCTTCAGGTTAAGAACAGTTTCAGGTTAAGAATGGACCTCCAGAATGAATTAAGTTCTTAACCCGAGGTACCACTGTATTCTTAGTGTTTGTGGTTTTATTAAAACATTTTGCATTGTTTTTAGTCTTCTGTACATTTTGTCTTGCTCGTTGCCCTGAGAGGGTTGTGCTTTTTCAGGTAGGCCTGTAGAAGCCATCTGACAAACAGGAAGAAATTGTGACAATGGTGACTTACTTTGCAATGTGCATCTTTTCCACGAGGGAGAGCAGCAAGCCCCACGCAGGGGCCTCACTCTGCATTGCCAACAGACGTGTGCTTCCGCTCTGTCGCCTGTGATGGAGGAAAACATGGGTGGAAAGCACCATTTTATCGGGGGATCTGAACTAGAGATGATGCTCTTTAACGTCTGGTACCTCTTTTGTTGCTGTTGTCCTTAGAATATGGAGAGGAGGTCGAAACTAGACGTGGACCATATCATCAAAGAGCACGAGAGCTTTAGCGAGAGTGAAAAGAGCTCAGAGAGGTGAGTTTCTTGGTAAGTGGAGAAGACCCACAGGGCAGATTTCATTTGTCAAGTGTGGACATTCTAGGTCAAGACACTTGTTCTGTGGTTTACGCGTCTTTGACAGACATATCCTACCGTTTTTTCCTATACAGTGGCACCTCGGGATGCGAACGGGATCCATTCTGGAGCCCCGTTTGCATCCTGAACAGAATTTAAGACGCGACTGCGCATCTGCGCGTGTGCGGGTCGTGTTTTGCCGCTTCCACGCATGCGTGTTACGTCATTTTGACTGTCTGTGCATATGCGAGCGGCGAAACCCAGAAGTAACGCACTCCGTTACTTCTGGGTCGCCGCGGAGCGCAATCTGAAAATACTTATCCTGAAGCATATTTATACCGAGGTATGACTATATTCAAAAGTTTAGAGCTAGAAACTGCTCAGTTCTTGTCAGGTACGCTGGCAGGCAAGGGAGTTTCCTCCTCTCCTCTGGGAGCTTACGATAAAAAGTAATGAGCCTTTGGCAAGTTTATAGTCCTTTTTATTTACAACATCATACTGAGAGGAGCATCAGGCCGCCCTTCCCACAGATGGCAGTCGCTCACTCTGAGTCCCCTCCCCTTCCTAAGCAAGAAGCCACCTGTCCCTCCTCTATGCTTCCGTTGTTCCTGGACCATTTCAGTCCTCCGAGTTCTGGGGGAGGGAGTGACTTCCCTGCCACTCTGGACTGAAAAATCTCCATAAGGCTCCCTCCCTCCTGGTTGCCTAGCTACTATCTCAAACTGTCCAGCTCTTCCCCTGACTGAGCAGCCTCTGAATCTGCTGGTCTCTCTGCTTGTAGGAACGTGGGGGGGGTGATCCCCCCCCATCAGAGGCTGCTCTGTCTGTGCCTGCATTCCTTCATCTTCGGAGTCAGACCAGTCTCTGGCATCCAATTCAGACCAGACCCTGACACTTCTGTAGCATTTCTGACCAGTTTCAGCAAAAACTCACCTCTTTACCATACCTCTGGGTTTCCCCAGACATTCTTGCCAATCACCTATTTTCAAGCCCCAAATCCCGGATGTGTCCAGGAAAACAATAATAGTAACAATACCTTTATTGTTCCTGTACAGCCGAGCATTAAGGTAAAGGTAAAGGTACCCCTGCCCGTATGGGCCAGTCGTGTCCGACTCTAGGGTTGTGCGCCCATCTCACTTAAGAGGCCAGGGTCCAGTGCTGTCCGCAGACACTTTTGGGTCACGTGGACAGCGTGACAAGCTGCATCTGGCGAGCCAGCGCAGCACATGGAAACGCCGTTTACCTTCCCGCTAGTAAGCGGTCCCTATTTATCTACTTGCACCCGGGGGTGCTTTCGAACTGCTAGGTTGGCAGGCGCTGGGACCAAAAGACGGGAGCTCACCCTGCTGCGGGGATTCGAACCGCCGACCTGACGATCGGCAAGTCCTAGGCGCTGAGGTTTTACCCACAGCGCCACCCGCGAGCATTAGGTGCACATTATTAGCAATCGGCCAGGAATTGCTTCCAAGGGAAAACATCGCATCCATGGGAACCTCAGAAGGGGTGAAGGAGGAGGGGGGTGAGCAGGGTTTGTGATTATCCCATGGCCGTTTTTAAAAAGTTGAAATGTTCTTTTGCAGGGTGAGAGCGATGAAAATGGAAAGCATGGTAAGCAGCGATTTCACTTACGGTAACAGCTTTGCTAACAACTTTAGGGTGCAATCCTGCAGTCTCATCCAGCTTCCTCTGGCTCAGCTAGCTCAATAATTTTATTTCGTATTTGCCTTTTTATGAATTGCACTTTTTGTGTGTAGTTGGGGTCCCCCCCCATAATATGTTTTCACTTATTTAATTGATAGATTGATTGCATCTATGTCCCCAGGTGCACATGTTTCTCTCCCTTCCTCATTTAACCCCACAAAAACCCTAAGAGGTAGGCTAGGCCGAAAGGCAAATGGCTCCCCCGAAGTCACCCACTGAGTTTCATAGCCAAGTGGGGATTTGAACCCTGCTCTCCCAGGTCCTGGTCCAGCATTCTAACCACTGTGCCCCCCTGGCTCTCTTTAAAAGAACCTTCCATAAAGGAGACCTTTCATACAGCAAGCAACTGCCAAGTTCAGATACAATTATTATTACTAGTCGTAAGGATGGTATACTGTGTCCAGCAGCAGCTCCTCGTGGTCTCAGGCTTTTTCCAGCTGTGCTGTCGCTGCGAGTATATTTCACCCACTCTCCATATTCTCCCGATCTGGCCCCACCAGATTTCTTTCTTTTTCCAAAACTGAAATCTGCACTGAAAGGGCACAGGTTTCCCAACATTTCACACGTCCAAGCCACTGCGATGAGGGAACTGAAAGCAGTACGAAAAGAGGACTTCTCCAGAAGTTTCCAACAGTTCTGCAAACATTGTCAGCAGTGCATTGTATCAGTGGGGGCTGCTTTGAAGGCCTGTAAGGCATGTATGTTCGAATATTTCTCACTGTCCAATTTCTGTGACCATTCACCGAACTTTCCAGTCACACCTTGGAGAATCGTAGCATTGGAAGGGACGCAATTCTCTGCTTCTGGGCTCCATCCCCTCCCTGCAGAAAGCAGATCATGGAGGCTTCACGCATGCAAGGAAGTTGCGCAGCAACCCTGAGTGACCCAAATGATGAATGTGGGAAGATGAAAGCCTTGGGTGACCCTCTTTGTCTCCTCTCTGTTGTCTTTCAGCTGAAGAAGGTGCTAGCTGAAAACCAGCAGTTGAAAAGTGCTGTAAGTTCACTGTGTGTGTGTGTGTGTGTGTGTGTGTGTTTTGCCTTGGGTCTTCCCCCGGGGCTCACAAACCCTCTGAGCCTTCTCATCCATCATCATCAACACCAACACCAACAACCACCAGCTCCCAGGGTAATGGAATGAAAGAATCATTGAGCTGGAACGGATAATAATAATAATAATAATAATAATAATAAAATATTATTTATGTCCCGCCCATCTGGCTGGGTTTCCCCAGCCACTCTGGGCGACTTCCAACAAAATATTAAAAACACGATAAAACATCAAACATTAAAAACTTCCCTAAACAGGGCTGCCTTCAGATGTCTTTTAAAGAGAAGATAGCAGCTTATTTCCTCCACATCTGAAGGGAGGGCGTTCCACAGGGCGGGTGCCACCACCGAGATGGCCCTCTGCCTGGTTCCCTGTAACTTGGCTTCTCGCAATGAGGGAACCGCCAGAAGGCCCTTGGAGCTGGACCTCAGTGTCCGGGCTGGATGATGGAGGAGACGCTCCTTCGGGTATACTGGACCGAGGCCGTTTAGGGCTTTCAAGGTCAGCACCAACACTTTGAATTGTGCCTGGAAACCTACTGGGAGCCAATGAAGGTCTTTCAGGACTGGTGTTATGTGGTCTCGGAAGCCACTCCCAGTCACCAGTCTAGCTGCCGCATTCTGGATTAGTTGCAGTTTCCAGGTCACCTTCAAATGTAGCCCCACGTAGAGCGCATTGCAGTAGTTCAAATCGGAGATAACCAGAGCATGCACCACTCTGGGATCCCTAAATGTCATCTAGCCCGACCTTCTGCAGTGCAGGGATCACAACTGGAGAATCCCTGGCAGATGGATATCCAACCTCTACTTAAAAACCTCCAAGGAAGGAGAACTCACCACCTTCTGAGGGAGTGAAACCAGGCGCGCCCCCTGCGTGGGACTTAATGGAATGGATTCTCTTTTGCAGGTTCACTTCTTGAAGCAGCAGAACAAAGGTAGGATCCCTCTCCCTCTCTCTCTCTCTCTCTCTCTCTCTCTCTCTCTCTCGTTTCCAGGTGCAGCAGGGATATGAATCCCTGTGTGGCACCCTGGAGAGGTGCTGCCGGTCAGGGTGGACAATACTGGCCTCACCCGGTAGAATGAGGATCATTTGTGAAACTGATTAGTTGTTGTTGTAAAAGTAGCTCACACCGACTTACAACAATAAACGAATAACACATGCATTGAAACCAGTGCAAGGCAAAACACAGGAAAATTGAAAACACGTTCATTTGTGTGTGTGGGTGTGTGTAATTTTTATTAAATTTTCTGTTTTACAATTTAAAATAGTCATTTAAACCTTAAAGTGTGTGTGCGTGATTTTTATTAATTTTTCTGGTTTACAATTTAAAATATTCATTTAAACAACCTTAAAATGTCAATGAATTCCTTTCTATGGTTCATTCTGCATGTCATCGATCCCAGCATACTTTACAGAAACGAAACCATTCAGTATGCCATTATTACATCCATCAAAACTTGTTCACACTGTTGAATTTGTCTTAATGCTGCCAACGATTTGAAGTATGCACAATTCTCCCCCATACATTCAATAAACTTTTTCCAATCTTCTTTATGTTATTCTTTGCTTCCTTTTAAAAATATGAATGTGCTTTCACACGTGAACGAAAACGTGTTCATATTTTTTTTAAAAGGAAGCAAAGGCAGCTTCCATTGTCCCTACTTTTCATTACCAGGACAATCCATCAACTTTATTGTCACTTGTACAACTTGTATTCAGTGAGATTACATGAGCACACCCCCCCCCCCTGAGCTCTCTTAGTCTTAATTCCCCTTGTTTACTGACACACTGGGGACGTTTTTACTGTAATTTTACTGGTGTTAGCCGCCCTGAGCCCTGATCTGGCTGGGGAGGGAGGGGTATAAATAAATTATTTGTACCCACTCAGAGTGGCTGGGGAAACCCAGTCAGGTGGGTGGGGTACTAGTAATAATAATAATAATAATAATAATAAATAATTTCAGGGCTTTTTTTCAGCTGGAACTCAGTTCCAGCACCTTACAGCTGGGCACCATTACCATTATAAGAGAACAAGGAAGGTGTTTGGGGGTGAGTTCCGGAATCCCTTTTTCTAGAAAATCAGCACTAATAATAAGAACAACAATAGCAACTCTGCTGTGTATATTGAATGATGAGGGGGAAGGAAGCTGCGAGTTTTGACCGATGGACCCATTTTCTATTCCAGAAAAAGATTGCAATGCAGAAGACTGCAAGAGGTCAGTGCAATCGCACGTCCGGCGGGGGGTCGCCAGGCCCTTGTGGAATAATGGACGATATTCATAGAGAATCTTAGCGCTGTGGCATTCAAAGGAACAGCCCTGGGGTCACCTAGTCCAGCTCCCTGCAGAGCAGGAATGCCTGCGAAAGGATCCCTGAAACGTGGCCGTCCGAATTCTGCCAAGGAACGAGAGACCAAAACCTTCTGAAAGGGTCTTTCCCACTGTTAAGTGGCTTAGCCTCAGAAAGATCACTCTAAGCTTTAGTCAGAATTTCCTTTCCTGCAATTTGGATCTGTTGGTTTGGTCCCAACATTCTGGAGTAGCAGAAAACCACTCTTGTTCCATCTTCCATTTGACAGCCCTTCAGATATATGAAGGTGGCTCTCATATCCCCTCTCCGCCTCCTCAGGCTAAACATACCCAGCTCACTCAACCATTCCCCTTTAAATCTTAGTTTCCAGACACCTTCATCCCCTGCTCATTTTCTAGCTTATCGATAGCCTTTTTTAAGTGGGCTGCCCAGAACCGGACACAGAGCTTGTCAATCTTCTTTCTCCACTCTTTTTTCCAGGGCTAAAGAAAAACTTATGACTGAAATTGGGTCTCTCTTGACCGAAATTGCCTTCCTGAATGAAGTTCGGGAGCAGCTGGTGAGTGTCTTGGATCAGGGTATTCCCAGTCCCCTCCATTTGTGGCTCAAGTCTCCAGATCCCACTATGAGTAGCTGAAGATTAAACCCCCTTAAACCAAATATGTTGGTGGGAACAGGATCACTTCCAATTTAACTGAGGTAAAGTGTGTCTAAAACCGCATATATTCATGAAAATATGATCCAAGCGTCCAGAATATGACAGGAAATAGCCTTGCAAAAATGTGTATTTCAGGTGAAATAAGGATGATGATTATTAGGGATGCGGGTGGCACTGTGGGTTAAACCACAGAGCCTAGGGCTTGCCGATCAGAAGGTCGGTGGTTCGAATCCCTGCGACGGGGTGAGCTCCCGTTTGGTTCAGCAGAAGCGGCTTAGTCATGCTGGCCACATGACCCGGAAGCTGTACGCTGGCTCCCTTGGCCAATAAAGTGAGATGAGCACCACAACCCCAGAGTCGGCCACGACTGGACCTAATGGTCAGGGGTCCCTTTACCTTTACCTTTTAAGGATGAAGATACTGATGAATTTTCATGAGGACTTTTTTAAAAAAAAGTTTGCAGGCTGACTTGGAAATGTGGATAGCATAATAATAAAAATCACATAAAAATCATAGTAACAGTTCTTCCCACATTGTTGTGTAGATTAAATGAGGAGGGCAAACTGCCCTGAGACCCCTGGGTGTGGGGCGTTATATAAATTCAATAAATAATAATAACAATCAGTGCTTTTTTTCTGGGGATAAAGAGGTACACATACCCCCAAACATTTTGTGAGTCTTTGTACTATTGTCCATTTACTGTATTTATTTTTCCTGAATTGAACTATAAAATGGTGGTTTTCTTGAGTCAAAATGAGAGTACCCCTAAACATTTCTTTAGGGAAAAAAGCCCTGATAATAATAATTATAATAACTGTGTGCGCCACCTTGCGCTCCTTTGAGGAAAAGCCGGGATATAGATGCAATAAATACGTAACAAATAGAACAAAGCACAGGTGGCAGGTTAATCTCCGTTTATCATTTTTCAAACCTCCGCAGCAGCTTTTCAGTGCATTACAAATTTCGCAAAGCAATTTCCCCCGATGCAAGACGTCCATGTGCGTCATTCTCGCTCGCGGTCCGCATGCCTCCCTCCCTCCGGTACGAACATCTTGGCGTGCGTCTCTTTAGAGAAGGGCGTCGCAAAATCCGCATTTCGAAAGGGGTGGCGTTCCGCGTTCCGGTTGCGGTGCTTGCTCTCCTCTGAGTCTCTTGCTCTCCTGCTTCTCTTCCAGAGGTACAAGGACCCCGAGTCCAGGAAGGAGACGACGAAAGCCCTCACCGAGACCATCCAGGCCAAGCTGGAGGTGGCTCACGCGAAGATCGAGGCGGCCGAAGCCAAGAAGGAGACGCTGGAGGCCAAGCGGAAGGCGGAAGAGGCCCAGGAGACGGCGGAGGCGGCCCAGGCCAGGGAGGACAACCTCCTCTCCTACGTCTCCAAGATCGCCACCCTCGCGTACCAACAGGCTGCCGAGGCGGAGTATGACTGTACCCAGGCCCGCAAAGCCATGGCGGTGGCGGAGGCCATCCAAGTGGCCACCCTGGCCGAAGGCAAAGGCCGCCGGAACCACAAGCACCACCACCACCACCACCAGGGCAAGCACCACAGGGGCCACCACGACCACCGGGGCCACCACAGCCACCACAGCCACCATGATCACCGGAGCCACCACGAGACCCAGAGCGACCTGCCCCACTCGGAGCCCGAGACCCTGAGCAGCACCCGATAAGGAGGAGGACGGGAGGAAGGAAGGAAGCGAACGAAGGCAGGAGCGTGGCAGGGCGGGAGGAGAGAGAGAGAGAGAGAGGGGATTGGTGCCATAGAGCGCCAATAGCGGGAGCACTGTGCAGAATTAAAATTTATGTTTGAGCCGCTGACTCCTTACTCGTTTCGTAGAATCGTGGCGTCGTACAGTTGGAAGGGACACACCGGGTTGTCTGTTCTTTTTTGTTGTTGTTATTTCTAGGGTTGCCGGGTTTCAAGAAGTGAAAATCCGGACCGTAGCTGTCAACTTTTTCCTTTTCTTGCGAGGAATCCTATTTGGAATAAGGGAATTTCCCTTGAAGAAAGGGAAATTGTTGACAGCTATGATCTGGACACAAAAGTTGGCAAAGTTGTTGAGCTTTGGCAGTAAACTTTGGGTAAACTTTTGGCTTCTTTGAGGGAAATCTGCCAAATAATCGACACTTCTGATAGGGCGGCCATATGCCCGGGTTTCCCCAGACATTTTAACTGGTTTCCAAATTTTCTGCTGGGATGCCCTTTTTGACGGGCAAATCCCCACATTTCCCCCTGACCAGGCAGGTAACCGACAAAAATTAAAACGACTTAAAACGTAAGGGAGAAAAATAAAACAACAAATCATTCATAGAATTACAACCACACACACACACACACACACACACACACAATGTCAGGGGGCAGTGGGGCTGGAGTCTGACTCTTGAGAGGTGGGCAGAGATTTGTGGGGAGTTGTATTGGCCAGGAGGCAAGAGTCGGAGACAGGGGAAGCTTCAGAGATGGAGGGTGGAGTGCAGGAGGGGTTGGAAGAAGAGGAGGAAGAGGCAGGCCAAGCAAGTGAAGAGCCAGGGGCTTCCCTACCCTCCTGCACCACTGTCTCCCAGAACCAGGAGGGGACTGAAAAGGGTGGAGCTGAGGACGTTTTCCCGCAGGTACAGTCTCTGGCTGCGCGCACATAGCCGCAAGGTACATAAATTGGTGGAGGGGAGAGTGGTCCCCAGTTGCTGCATCTGTTCCATAGAGGATGGACCTGGGAATAGCTGCCTGGGCACAAGATTGGAGTGTGTGAGTATCCAGAGCTATAGAAGCGACTGAATAAATAAAAAATTGTCCAGTAGCACATTAGAGACTAAGAAAGTTTGTTCTGGGTATAAGCTTTCATGTGCATGCACACTTCTTCAGATACAAGATGATACCCAGCTCTACCTCTTTTTCAAATCAGAACCAGTGAAGGCAGTGAAGATTGAGGTTGAATCCTGACAAGACAGAAGTACTGTTTTGGGGGGACAGAGGGCGGGCTGGTGTGGAGAACTCCCTGGTCCTGAATGGGGTAACTGTGCCCCTGAAGGACCAGGTGCGCAGCCTGGGAGTCATTTTGGACTCACAGCTGTCCATGGAGGCGCAGGTCAATTCTGTGTCCAGGGCAGCTGTTTATCAGCTCCATCTGGGATGCAGGATGAGACCCTGCCTGCCCGCAGACTGTCTTGCCAGAGTCATGCATGCTCTGGTTATCTCTTGCTTGGACTACTGCAATGCGCTCTACGTGGGGCTACCTTTCAAGGTGACCCTGAAACTACAACTAATCCAGAATCTGGCAGCCAGACTGGTGACTGGGAGTGGCTGCCGAGACCATATAACACCAGTCCTGAAAGACCTACACTGGCTCACAGTACGTTTCCTGAGCACAATTCAAAGTGTTGGTGCAGACCTTGAAAGCCCTAAACGGCCTTGGTCCAGTATATCTGAAGGAGCATCTCCACACCCATTGTTCAGCCGGGACACCTGGGTCCATCTCCAAGGGCCTTATGGCAGTTCCCTTACTGCGAGAAGCCAAGTTACAGGGAAGCAGGCAGAGGGCCTTCTGGGTGGTGGCACCTGCCCTGTGCAACACCCTCCCACCAGATGTCAAAGAGAACAACTGCTACCAGACTTTTAGATGACATCTGAAGGCAGCTCTTTTTAGGGAAGCTTTTAGTGTTTGATGTATTATGGTATTTTAATATTTTGTTGGAAGCTGCCCAGAGTGGCTGGGGAAGCCCAGCCAGATGGGCAGGGAATAATTAAATAAATTATTAATTATTATTATTATCTCCACTGACCTTCATTCCAGGGAAACTGAGGCTGGGTTAGTGCCTGGGAACCTGGGGTCTCTCACTGCTCAAAGATCGGGATCACGTGTAAAAATATTGAACTATGAACCAATAGTCTTTGTCAGTTCCCAATGTCGTGCCAAAGTTACTTTTAACTCTCCTCCTTCATTTATGATAAGAACCGCAGGTATTCATTTTGAGGGATCTGCTCCCAGTGGCGTAGGAAGGGGCTGGTGGGGTGGGCGCCCCAGGTTCCATCCCTGGGGGAGTTTGACATCGTTGCAGGCGGCACCCACATTGGGACGCCCCCCACTCCAGGTGCCAAAGCCCCTATCGCCGCCACTGTCTGCTCCATCCGGCACGGACACACTCACCTTTGCTGGGTGCCCATCAGTATGCGGATGATACCCAGCTCTACCTCTCTTTCAAATCGGAACCAGTGAAGGCAGTGAAGGTCCTGTGTGAGTGTCTGGAGGAGGTTGGAGGATGGATGGCGAATAACAGATTGAGGTTGAATCCTGACAAGACAAAAGTGCTGTTTTGGGGGGACAGGAGGCGGGTGGGTGTGGAGGACTCCCTGGTCCTGAATGGGGTCCCTGAAGGACCAGGTGCGCAGCCTGGGAGTCATTCTGGACTCACAGCTGTCCATGGAGGCACAGGCCAAATCTGTGTCCAGGGCAGCTGTTTATCAGCTCCATCTGGGATGCAGGATGAGACCCTCCCTGCCCGCAGACTGTCTTGCCATAGTCATGCATGCTCTGGTTATCTCCTGCTTGGACTACTGCAACATGCTCTATGTGGGGCTACCTTTGAAGGTGACCCGGAAACTACAACTAATCCAGAATGTGGCAGCCAGACTGGTGACTGAGAGTGGCCACCAAGACCACGTAACACCGGTCCTGAAAGACCTACACTGGCTCCCAGTACGTTTCCAAGCACAATTCAAAGTGTTGGTGCTGACCTTTAAAGCCCTAAACGGCCTCGGTCCAGTATATCTGAAGGAGCGTCTCCACCCCCATCGTTCTGCCCAGACACTGAGGTCCAGGGCCAAGGGCCTTCTGGCGGTTCCCTCGCTGCGAGAAGCCAAGTTACAGGGAACCAGGCAGAGGGCCTTCTCGGTAGTGGCACCCGCCCTGTGGAACGCCCTCCCACCCGATGTCAAAAAGAAAAGTAACTACCAAACTTTTAGAAGACATCTGAAGGCAGCCCTGTTTAGGGAAGCTTTTAATGTTTAATAGGTTATTGTATTTTAGTGTTTTGATGGAAGCCGCCCAAAGTGGCTGGGGAAACCCAGCCAGATGGGTAGGGTATAAATAATGTCTTCTTCTTCTTCTTCTTCTTCTTATTTGCTGCACGACACAGATAGACAATTACGGAATCAAACCAATATCCTTTATTCTATTATTAAGAAAGCAACGCATCAGCAGCTCACTAAGCAAACAAATTATGTCCACAGCTGCGCGGCTGCTCCCTGCACCGGGCATGTCTTCACGTCTTCTCGGGGAGCTGTGGGGCTGGTTCAGTGGCTCCATCCCACTCGCCGTAAAGCGATCGACGTCACCAGCGATTCATATAGTCCATATAGTGCCAACGGTTCCACTGAAAAAGGGAGGCCTTAAATGGCTGGCCGCCCCAGAGCTTTGGTCTATACATACAAGGAAAGGGGAGCGATACAATTTGGGGGGAGCCTGACACCCCCTCCCCAGGTCGGTGGAGAAGGCGGGCAGCAAAGATGGCACGCTCACAGGGTAGACAGAAACATTACAGTAGACTCTACAAGCAAGCCCTGAGAGACAGAAAGGCTGAGATGCCGCTACCCCCCAATTCCTCTGAGGGGCAGCCAGGAACTGGCAGAAAGAAAAGGTGCCTGTGATTCTTGGCCAGCCTCTCTGAGGTCCCACCAGTTCCTCTCCAACAGGATATTCCGTTTGCTCTTTGGACGCCCAGCTTCCCTCCTCACTGCGTCAAGCATTTCACGCCAGCGTCCTCGGCGTGCCCACAGTTTGTTTTCCCCCAGCTGGAAAAGCTGCACTGGAACAAGCTTTCTTCCGTCCCCTTGCAGGCCACATCGTCCATCCAGATACGTCCTTTCCCTGGGGGAGAATTGGAGAACACTGTCATCAGCTGGGATTCCTGGCCCCCAACAAACCCAAGACATCTCCCTCCCTCTGGTCACCGTTGCTGTGAGAACATCCTCGACCGGCCAAAGCTGTCAGGGAAGGAGATTCGGACTAAACACCAGGAAGAACTCTCTGAGAGTAAGAGCTACAGTCATACTTCGGGTTAAATGTGTTTGAGCGTTTTCAAGTTACGCTTCGTGGCGACCCGGAAGTAACGGAGTGCATTACTTCCGGGTTTTGCCCATCGCACATGCGCAGACGCTCAAAATGACGTCACGCACATGCGCGGAAGTGGCAAAACGTGACACACACACGTGCAGACGTGCAGTCGTGTCTTACGTTCTACTCAGGATGCGAACGGGGCTCCAGAATGGATCCCGTTCGCATCCAGAGGTACCACTGTATTCAAGGGACTCCATCAGAAGGTGATCAATTCTCCTTTACTGGAGGTTTTTAGCAGAGGTTGGATCGGGGTAGGCAAACTAAGGCCCGAGGGCTGGATCCGGCCCAATCGCCTTCTCAATCCGGCCTGTGGACGGTCCGGAAATCAGCGTGCTTTTACATGAGTCAAATGTGTGCTTTTATTTAAAACACATTTCTGGGTTATTTGTGGGGCATAGGAATTTGTTCATTCCCTCCCCCCTTCAAAATATAGTCCACCCCCCCAAGGTCTGAGGGACAGTGGACTAGCCCCCTGCTGAAAAAGTTTGCTGACCCCTGAACTACTCTGTTCCAAACTTAAAAATGGAAAAATGGATCCAACGAAGTTGATGTTGAAGAATCATTGCTTCGATGTTGGTGTTCTTTGCTTCTCCCAGTACACTGGCATTAGTTCGCCTGTCTTCCCAAGTCACGTGTAAACTGATATACAATATATAGAGGCCACAGATTGCTGCATGGCTTGGAACAGCACTTTAAAGCTTTCTTAAAAGCCTTAGCAAAAAGGGGGGGGGAATAGAAGTTATAGCCCCTGTGAGGTTTTAATTCTAGGGAAACAGGCCTGTTGATATACCAGCTGGGATCCCAGAAAGTCCCTCTTGTCGAGACGACTTTGGCTTCTGGCCAGTTACGGCTGGTGCCTTTATTTTGCTGAGTAAGCAGAACCAAAATCAAAAGCTCAAGTTCACAGTCCCATCGCTGGCATCCC